CCCACTTAGGAATTTAAGAGAGAGGGGAAGGAGGTAGTTGGGAGGTGGGATCAAGCATTAGGGTGAGATCTTTGGTAGTGAACTCTAAGATGAAATTACATCATTGGTCCACAGCTGTTCTTCACATTCTCATCTGGTGATGGAATCTCTGCATATGATTCTCCCATGCTGAGCCATCAGGCGTGTGGTCCTAATCAGAGCTGTGTCCTGTCACCATCATGTCCTTCAGCCTCCCCAAACTCTGAACGAAATAAAAATAGAGAAACTCCTTTACACTGTGTTCTACAGAAGGTACTTCTGGTACAATTGTTAAACGAAATTTAAGAAAGTTCCTGTGGTCTCTTATGAAATAAATTAAGATAAGTTAGTAATTCAAAGAGTAGCCGGCCATTTCTTCGCAGTCATAGTCACAGGAAGAGTACAGAAGAACTTTTAGGGAAGGTAGGAATACTGTGTGCCTTGGTTGTGTTGCATTGCAGGTAATATGGGATACTAATTTATTAAAACAAAAACAAACAAACAAAAAAACCACGAAAGCAAACGAAGGCAGGATAGCACCGCCGCAGGTACCATCGAGTCAGAACTTGAAGTTCTAGATTCTGAAATTCGGGTAATTGCATAGTTGCAGAAGTCCTGGCAATAATGGCATTTTTGTGTTTGAAAGAGGTGAGCGCAGTGCATGTTGGGATCTGTAGTCCGCGCCTAATTTGGCTCTGTTTGGGGCTGGTGAGAAACTCCTCCCTGGACCTAAGAGTGAGCTGTTGCTTCCAGACCCAAAAGACCCAGTATGGGGTCTTATTGATGATGTCCTGCGCTGTCCACTGTGTCTTAGATACTTGGCTCCCAGTATGTCCTTGTCACTGTCTCCTAGATCAGACTTTCTAAGCCACTCTCAAAGACCGAGATGGGACTGACTGACTCGCCGAACCCCAAGCTATATCGAAAGTGTCAAATTCCTAACACAGAGCTCTCCCTAAGTGAGTAACCGAGTTAAACCCTACCTAGTTCTGAGCTACCTAGAAAGCTGACTGCCGCTTTCTTGAGCATATTATGATCCCACACCCCACCCCCTCCCTCTGCCCGCCCCCCCCCCCCCCCCGCTCCCATGCCATTCTTTCCAGCTGTCCTGCTGAACCAAGAGAGTGGCATTTAGAAATCCCACCACTATTCGTCCTCAACGGAACTTGCGGTGCCAGAAGGGGCTAGGGAGAATCTAGATGAGGCGACACTGCTGGGAACCTGACTTCAGAATTCGCCTGGTCACCCCTTGATTGCGTGGCTGGGCTACATAAGCGCCCCCTGGTGGCGCGACTGGAGAAACTAGCCTCAAGGGTAAAGTTGCTGGGCCGACAGTACCTATGAAAATCTGAAACTGAACTCTTTATGATCAGACTACAAAATTCACATATTCTAAATATTAATTCTCTTAGAGTATCAGCAATACTTATCGAGATATTTCCCAAAAAATCCTATGTTAATTTTTACATGATATATTTGTTATGAACAAATACCACCATTTGTGTTTGTGTTACTTTGTTTTGGTTTTTGAAATAGGTTCCTATGAAACTCAGCTGGCGAGTTATGAAGTCCAGCCTAGCACCAAATTTGTAGTTCATCCTGCCTATGCTGCCTGACTATTGGGATTTCGGTGTGTGTCACCACACCCAACTTATCTCTGCTGGGTTTTGGGTTTGGTGGTTTTGTGTGTATTGAGACAGGCTCTCCTGTAGCTCACGGGCTGCCCTTGAACATGCCATGTAGCTGAGGATGACTTTTAACTCCTGATCTTCCTTTCTCTGCCTTTCAAATGCTAGAAATACGGGTAAGTGCCACCGAGCCTGGATCTGCTGTTGTAATGAAATTCTTCATGACTGTTCTCCAAACTTCATGAATATCATAACTTTTTCTATATAGGAAACATAAAAATATTCTTTATTACCTTTAAAAAATTAATATTAGAGTGTTTTCTGCTGAGTAGATGTTTAATTATGCTATAACATTAATTAATATGTGAAACAATTTTCTAAATATACACCTTTGTTTCCCTAATTGTTCTAATAAAAGCTGGGGAGTCAGAAATTCAGATAAAAATCTGTCTGATAAACACCAAGGAACATCAGAGAGTCAATTGGCTGACCCTCTCTTCATGTTTTTTTTTTTTCATCTACAAGCCCCAGAAATTCTTTATTCCCTTTCCCTGTCCTTCGCTATCCGGACTCTAAATTCTTCCAATGACTCTATGACTCATCCCAGTCGGCCAATTGCAAACTCTGTCCTTTAATTCAGGGAGGCTTTATTGGCACTGTGGAATGACCGAGCAAATAATCCTCCTGCAAAATACATGTGCCATTTTAATTGGATAGCAAATATTCATAGTCACAGTAGTATGTATCTGGTGTTGTGGGTCACCCTCCAGAGAAGACCACTCAGATAATCCATAGCCATTTGAAAGTCTCTATTCAAGCCAGCTGGGACTACACTCAGGTACTCTAGAACCAAGTGTAATGCTGAGCATTTAGAGTAAAGGCCTTTTAAAGACAAAAAGTATATCCTATTCTTTTGCTTGGACGCTTCAGGGGGAGGTTTGCACAAGCAGACAGTTTAACAGAAGACAAGTTAGCCTTGGGTTGCTAAAATGGGACTGGATAATTTTCCACAGGACTTCCCATTAAGATCAAAATCTAGTTTAACCTAAAATGGTCTCAGCAAAAACTCAAGATGGAGGAACCTGGGCTCTATTTCCATGGTACACTGCTCTCTCTAGTTTTGACTGGCATATTTAATTTTCGTTGAAAACATGTCTGCATGAGTGTGTGGAAGTCAAAGCATTACCTTGGTTGTTATTTTTAAGATACCATTCATTTTTCTCTTTGTTGTTGTTGTTGTTGTTGTTTTCATTGACATGATCTCTCACCAGTCTGGAACCTGCCAAGTGGGCCAGGAGGGCATGGATACACCTGTCTTTGCCTCCCCAACACTAAATTTACAAGTGTGTGTGTTACTATATCTGGTTTTTTAAGTGTGGGTTTTGGGGTCAAACTCAGGTCTTCATGCTTTCAAGGATAGCACTGGTCTGGCTGAGCCATCACTCCAGCCCTAATGTATTTTATTTCTGTATTATCTTTATCAGTTCAAAGTCAACTCTCCATAATTCCTACTGTATAAGAGTAACTTTATTTTGTCTTATCATTATGTCATGTAAAGTTCATAACCACCTAATAAACTTCCACAAAAGAATCAGTCTACAAATTCATTTGCCATTGCCTTGGAATTTTTGATTGGTTTAGAACTGACTCATTGACCCTAGTGACACTGAGACTGTGATCATGATATAAAATCTAGGTTATTTTTGTTCTTGTTGTCTATTTGTTTTTGTTTTAAGAGGTGTAAATTAAATAATAATGAGGTGATAATATTAGTAGTATGGGAAAATTCCAGAAAACTGACAACACTTAATGCTGGAAGATTCTGCAATGGATGTCCTCATTCATTGCTAATGGAGGTGCATAATGGTATAGCCACCTTGGAAGATAATTTGATGATTTCATTTTTTTAACTTAATTCTTTATTGATTCTTTTGGAATTTCACATCATGCACCCCAATCCTGCTCATGTACCAGTCCCTCCATACCTGCCCCTAACCCTGCAGTATGCCCCCACGAAGCCCCCTAAAAATTAATTAAAAACAAAATAAACAAACAAACAAAAAAAACCAGCTTGGTCCTCTGTTGTTGCAATACTTCTTCATTTGACTTCGTGGTATTGAGTGATGCAGTGTGTCAAACAGTAAACCCTTTTGTCTAATCAATACCACTCGCAAAATGTTCATTGTGATGAGCCAGTGGTCTGGTTCAGGGCCTCTGGCACATCATCATCACTGGATCCTCACTGAAACTCCTCTCAGGTCAGATGCTGTTGCTGTGAGTCATAGAGATTCTACAGTTACTGTTCTTGAAGACAAGGTCCTTCCCAAACTCCAGTAGGTCACAGATGGGGAAGATGTTAGGGTGGGCTAACCACAGGCCCAGAATTTGTGTCTTGGTGGTAGCTGAGCTGGTTGGACAGGGCCACTGGGATTGTCCCCTTCAGGTGAGAGACAGAGCCAGCTCTACAGGCCAATATCCTAGGGACCAGCTCTCCCATGCCCCTAGTGAGGGATGAGAACATTACTCTTGGGTACAGGGACTAGTTCTCCCATGTTGGGTAGGACCAGCTCTTTTACTGCAGTGTCCAGCTAGGGACACAGCCAGCAATCTGAGGGCTGGTAGGTGAAAGGTGGGCCCCACTCAGCACAGCCCTCAAAATTCAACACACATATTTCATATGAACCTATGAAGTGACACAGGACATAGGCATCATCACAGACACCAGTGGCAACAGGACCACAGTCTCAGACATGGCTATTTGCAGAAAGTTGGGTCCAGACATCCTCATGGCCCCAGTAAGAGCACAGGCCACCCTGATTGGTATGGCCCCTCCGAGCCCTCAGACAACAAAATAGTCTCAGGTTGCTGCCCAGACTCCAGACATCAGCACAGCCCCTGGTGGCAGCAGGAGCCACAGATATAAACCCAGACCATGGCTACTGCTGGACCACAAACCCAGACATGACCAGCAATAGCATCCTAGGTCCAGATAACACCCTGCCACCATGTGGCAGTGCAGGCCACCCAGATTGGCATGACCCTGGTGGCGAGACACCAACATGGCCAGAGACAGCCCTTGGGCATCTATGTGACCTTTGGTGGTACCATGGGCCACAGACATCAACACAGTTACTGGCTTTGGTTACATGAAGGACCTAGATATGGTCCTTGGTAGCAGCCTAGGCTCAGATATGACCATGGTTCTAAATGACAGCCCAGAACCCTGGCATCAGCATGGTCTTCAATGGTATCAGGAGCCACAGACATCAACACAAACCCTGGCTGGGGGAGAGTAATAAAATGTGTAGTTTTTATATGTTGCTTAATTTCTTTAAAGTAATTTCACATTCCCCATTATAACATATATTTTCATTTATTAATAATATTATAACACCTTCATTGTAACAATACATTTCATAGGATTTTACATTGTTATTGATTCATATTTTGTTAGATTAGTTAATGGATAAGTAGTGATTTTATAGCTTTTTGATAATCTTTCCTTTTCTTTAACAGACTTCAAATATATAGTTATAGTGGTATGCCTTTTATCTCAGCTTTCTAGAGAAATGAGGGAAATGAGGGGTGAGCATGGAGTATTTAATGAGAAACTGTCTCAAAAAATTCCTAATTGAGATGTTTATTAACAAAATATATAAGTCCAACTGTGTCCTTGAAACTCAATAGATAATTTTTTAAAAATTTACCTCCACATTCTTCTGGACCTTCTCTGAGCACAGCACCATCACCCTTCCTCTATGATTTCTTTAACATATTCTTTGTGCAAAAGATATTGCCCAAACTTAACAATTCTTAAAACACTGTGCTGGTCAAATACAGTATTTCAAATAATTTTCAAAAGTTTATAGAGTTTGTCTCACCATTGCTGTGTACTTTTAATATTAATTTGATAACACAATTTAATATCTTAGAGATATTTTATAGTTTATAAGTCTAACTTGTTTACCTAATAAGCACATAAGATCATGTTTCACAAATCAATTTTTAAATCTAAGAAAACTCGCTGAGTATTGAGTTTACACTGATGTGAATTAAGTCATGTTTGGCTTTCTTTTGTCTTCACATCTGTGTCATGATGACTCTTTCAGATGAGTTCCCTTCTTACCCACCTCCCAACCTCCCAATCTTCCCACAGGGAAATCTTATCTCCCTGCTCTTAGAGCCCTGGTTCTTGGGCTGGTGAAGGAAGTCCTGCGACTCTTGGTCACCCTTGCCAGATGTGCCTCACCTCCAAACTAAGAGTGGGATAATTGCAGAGTACTTTCTTCTTTCTCAAAGAATTTGAGGAATATTGGCTTATCAATAATCTGCCACTGTTAATTCCATAAAGGTTAAAATTTCTTCTAACTCCTACACAAAGCTGTCTACTAAATGACGGTCATCATCTCATGCCTTCAGTCCAAAACGTCTAGGCAAATCAGGTTGGTGTCAGAAGGAGTCAGAAGGAAATAAAACATTGAAGTCACAGAAATAGAAGCAGGCAAGAATCTTTAGGGTAGGACCTGGTGAACTGGCAGTGTTTAAAGGCTTGCTTCTCTTACAGAAGACTCATAGTTGGCTTTCAACAGCCATATGGTGACTCACAACCACTGGTAACTCCAATTCCAGGTGATCTGTTGCCCTCAGTGAACAAAAATATTCATGAGGTACACATACATGTAGGATACTCACATGTAAAATAAAAATAAATGAATCTTTAAAAATGTAAGAATCATTGGGATAAACATCTTGATGCTATCTCTCAAACTTCTCACACAGCTCTGGGGACCTAGCTTTAGCTGACTGTGAATTGACGAGACAAGAAGGTCTGATAAGAAGTGATGTGTTCAATGGCCAGTATCCAAGTCATGTCTCATATCATGATGCATAAACAGATCTTCTGGTAGGAATTCAAACAAGGGCCTCCATGTTAATATTCATCAGTAAATGGATGATTGGGATGTCCATTAAAACTGCAATTAGAAAAAAAAGAATGCTTAATATAAGAAATTGATTCTTCCTAGTTTTAAAGGAAGATAAATTCAAATGTTGGTCAGTAATAAAGGTTAGTTTTAGATGTACTAGTTCCTGCTAACAAGTTCATTTTCTTTTTACTATCAAACACAGTGTTGCATATTGTACTGGCTAGTTTTATGTCAACTTGACACAAGCGAGAGTCATCTGAGAGGAAAGAGCCTTAATTGAGAAAATCTCTCCATAATATCCAGCTACCAGAAAATCAATAGAGCATTTTTTAATTAGTGATCTATGTGAAAGATCATAGTCCATTGTGGGTGGTGCCATCCCTGGGCTGGTGGTTCTGGGTTTTATAAGAAACCAGACTGAGCAAACCATGTAGAGCAAGCCAGTAAGCAGCACTCCTCCATGGCTGCTGCATCAGCTCCAGCTTCCAGGTTTGTGCCCTGCTTGAGTTCCTACCTTCACTGCTTTTGATAGGGAACTGTTAGATGAAAGTATAAGTAAAATAAAAACTATTTTTCCCATGTTGCTTTCATCATGCTGTTTCTTCATAGCAATGGTAACCCTAACACGTGATTTACAAGTAAAGTTTATAAATGGAAAAAAATTCAATTTTTTAGACTGGGTCTCACATATCCCATGCTGTCCTCAAACTCACTATATAGCTGACAATGATTGGGAACTTCTGACCTTCCTGCTTCTACGCCCCAGTGTTGGGGCTATAGTTGTGTACTGCCATGGCCAGTTTAACAATGTTAAGACCCTGATTCAAGATGCATGATTTGTAATTTGGTAATTTGCATACTTTACTAGTAACACAAATATCATTGACAAAGATAATTCTTTTATTTTTATAGTTAACCATAAAGTACAGCAATAACACCTTTATACTTGCCATTTTCTCTTTGTACTATTTCCCCTAATTCTTAACTTTTATCTGTACATAGAGTAAGATTATTAATATTGTATCTTGAATTTTCTTGAGCACATATAATTTTTAATTGGGCTATTCTCATTTCATACACCATTCCATTATTTATATTGTAAATTTAAATTCCCCTGGGCAGAAAAATTACACACCGCTGCCCACACTCTTCTATAGGGTATGTCTTTTCTCACTTCCCACAATCTTACAGAAGGGAGGAAAACTAGAGACCATTTGTTGCTTCAAATTTCTCCCAACAGTTGGGTAGTGGAAGCACACATCTTTAATCCCAGCACAGAAAGGCAGAGACAAGTAGATCTCTATGAGTGTGAAGCCAGTCTGGTCTACAAAGTGAGTTCCAGGACAGGCTCCAAAGCTACATAGAGAAACCCTGTCTCGATAAAAAGGGGGAAAAAAATCTCCTAACAATAAGAACATCTCCAAGATCTCCCTTTGGTTTTTTAGCTCACTAATCTGAGACATCTCTGTCCTCTGCACTGAGATTTCTGTATTTCTTAAAACGCAAAACAATAGTTTCTCTTCACCTCACAAAGAACAACTGGTTTTATACAAAGGTAGAATTTGAGGACTGAGTTCAGGAAAAGGTATTGCGTATTCAGAGACTTGAATCTATTTAAAACATTGAATTGAAAAGTTGTAATTAACAATTGCATATGGAGTAGATAAGAGGGTCTAAATAAGACCATGGTTTCGAAAAGATATCTTTGATCCAGTTAGGAAAACACCCTGAGGTATGTGGGAGCTGATGTCATAAGCTCTGGTATTTAACTCAGGTAGATGGCAAAGTATATGTTTCATGACAAAGCTGTAGAAAACAGAAGCCTACACAGAGCTTCAGTTTGAACAAAGGCCTTGTATTATCCAGAAAGTTCTGCGGCTTGAGATGTGCAGAAGGCACATGTGGAAGTCAACTGACCCTGGTTCCACCATAGAACAGAGCCCTAGAGACAGTCTATAAGAACTCCCAAAGCAACTCATCCCTAGCTCACATCAGCCTTTGTCTTCTGCATACTGAGGTAACATTTAACACATTACATTTCTACTCAAAAAAACAAACTGAAGCAATATATTGATCAAAGGTACTTACTAATCTCCAGAATTGTATCTTAAATTTCTGTTCAAACCATCTAGGACTTTCATGTCCTCTGAAGTCAACTGGAATTCAAAAACCTATCACAGAAGTAGAAATTTTATTACTTTTATATTACATATTATAAGTCTGGGAAACCCAATTATATTCAAAAGAGTGGTACAAAGGCAATATTTAAAACACATGAGACATGTCCCAAATCTCTTGAAGATATCATTCACAAGATTTACACTATTAAGAAACAACAGGCAGAAAAGAAATAAAATAATGTTCTTACATAAGTGATTGAACCACACAATAAACCAACAACAAACTAGGAAAGAACCAGAGATGGTGTTTTTAAGATATATGAATTTAGAATATTGAACAAAACACTAAAAACTGAATTTTAATGATATGAGACAATGGTCTTTTATCCTGCCATTTATATTATTTTTTAATAAAATGCTGATTGGCCAGTAGCCAGGCAGGAAATATAGGCGGGATGACCAGGAAGTAGAGGAGGGACAACAAGAATTCTGGGAAGGGGGAAGTGCAGTCTGCTGTCATAACCCAGACACAGAGGAAGCAAGATGTGACTGCTTTACTGAAAAAGGTACCAAGCCACGTGGCTAACAAGACAAGAATTATGGGCTAATATAAGTTATAAGAGTTAAAAAGAAGCCTGAGATACTAGGCCAATCAGTTATATGTAGACCTCTATGTGACTTCTTTGGGACTTAATGACTGCGGGAACCATGCAGGACAGAAAACTCAGTCAACATTTTAACAATAGAGTTTACTAAAATGTATGGACAGAGACTCCTCTATCCCATTAAAAATGAGAAAATAAGTTTTATATAGTTTAATTTATAAATTGTCAAATGGTAATGAAGTCATCAGCAAATAGCATAGGAACTGGATTCCAAAGATCGTACCTAAATTAGAGATTAAAATTATCATCACTAGCTCCCAGTGTATTCAGAATAATGATTTTATGAATCTATAGTACTACTGTCACGTGTGGTAGAAGACGAGAGAAAATCAGTGTCTGAGCAGCTGATAAAGCTGTTAAAGGTAGGGTGGACCGTGATGTTGCAGTGTAAGCCAAACAAACCCTTTCCTCCCTCAAGTTGCTTTTGATCACGGTTTTAAGCCAGCAAAGGAAGACTAACTAGGGCATCCTGTTCACCCAGTGTCAGCTGTGTACAAGAGGGACACTGTGTAAAGTAAAAAGTGGCAACTGACACCCAAGATTGTCCTCTGACAACCAGACACGTATCAGATTATGTCCATATGCACAACACACACACACACACACACACACACACACACGCATGCACGCACGCACGCACACACGCACATGCACATGCACATGCACAGAAAGACAGAAGGGGAGTAGGGAGAGAGAAAGATTCTTAAATGACCTTATAGACGAAAGTAAATAACAGACATTTCTAGACTACTCCACCCCCACAACAATTGTGATGTGTAATGAAGTGCAGCTTAAGCTAGTTACCTAAAGAATAAATAGTAAACTAATGAAGGAGAACAGTAATACAACAGCCCAATCAATAGAAAACCCTCATTGTCCCGCAAATGAGAAAACTCAATCCAGAAAGCAAGATGGTACAGGAAATAAAAGCCCTTGTGGCACAGGACTAAAGACCTGAATTCAATCCCTGAAAGCCTGAACTTCAACTGAGACAATGTCTCTGTAGTATCCAGATCTAATGTATTTTCTTAATTATTGATTTATGGGAGATGCCTGGCCCATTGTGGGTGAAGCCATCCCTGGGTTGGTGGCCCTCAATTTTATAAGAAAGCAGTTTGAGCAACCAAGAGGAGCAAGCCAGTAAACACTGATCATTCATGACCTCTGCGTCAGTGGTTGCTTCTAGGTTCCTCTCCTGGTTGAGTTCTTATTCCAACTTCCTTTGATGGTGAACTACTATGTGCAAACAAAGCCAAATAAACCTTTTCCTCCCCAAGTTGCTTTTGGTCATGATGCTTTATGACAGCAATAGTAATGCTAGCTAAGGATATTTCACAGATGCTGCAAGGCCTACATCACCTGCATCATATCTTTGATCCGCTTCTCTTTGAAACTCCTGGCCAGTGTCACGATCCCACGCTGCAACAGGTAACGAAGGGCAACTAAGGCTGGTGTTTGTTTGTATTTCTTTGCCATGGTACAAAGAACTGGATCTTCTAAAAGAACTGGGCTGCTTTGGTCCACCCTGGAAGGGAAGGTAAAATGCTAAACTACAGAAGTTCAAAGTATCTTAAGGATAGGAAGCTTCCAAACTGTTATATACTCTAGACCATAGATATGCAACTATTCTTCTTGGGCCGGTAGAGTCAATATCACCTCAGGTCTTCTCAGAAATTTAAATGCCAACCTCTCTATGCCAGCTGAGAGTTAGATCTAGAAAGCTGTTAAAGAACTAAATCTATTTCAACAATGATATTTGAGATTTGCTGTTGTTTTTGTCACCTACCATAATGGATCTCGTGAACTTCCCAATGTACAGTAGGCAACCAGAGCAATGTCCTTGGACTTACAATACTCCAGCAGTTTGCTCTGGTTGAGATAAACATGACACTCTACCTGATAAAAAAAATATCAGATTATAAGAAGCTTTGCATTAATGGATGGACATAGAAAACGCTTTACTGAGTGAGGTAAGCCAGACCCAAAAAGAGGAACACGGTATGTATTCACTCATAAGTGGATTCTAACGATAATTAAAGGTCTTTGAGCCTATTATTCGTGATCCTAGAGAAGCTAAATAAGAAGACGAACCTGATGAAGATTATTTAGCTATCCGCCAGGAGGTAGGAAATAGACAAGAGTCCCAGGTAACCTTGGGTGCATGGGGGGGGGGGGTGGGAGGGGTGTTGGAAGGGGAGAGGGTTAGAGAGAAGGGAGTAGGGGAGGAATGGAGAAACCTCGGTTGACCGGGATGGGGGGAAGGGAGGAAGGATGAATATGGGAGCAGGGAAGAATATATTTGAACTAAGGGAGTCATTTTAGGGTTTACAGGAAACTTGATTATATATGGGATCCCAGGTCCAAGGAGAGATCCCCAGATTGTTCTCTGGACAGAGGAGAGGGTGTCTGAACCGGCCTTGGCCCATAACCATACTGATGAATATTTTGCTTATCACCATAGATCCTTCATCTGGCGATGGATGGCGATACAGACAGAGACCCACATTGGAGCACCGGACTGAGCCCCCCAAGGTCCAAATGAGAAGCAGAAGGACGAAGAAAATGACGAAGGACTGAGAGGGATGCTATCACCCACTGATACAAGGGGTCGGATCTAATGAGAGTTTACCAAGGGCAGTTGGACTGCGACTGAACGAGCACGTGATCCAACCAGATTCTCTGAATGTGGCCGGATTCTCTGAATGTGGCTGGCCCGGAGTCTTTCTGAGAAGCCATTGACAATGACACTGGGACTAGTTTCCTCTGCATATACTGGATTTTTGGGATCCAGTCTGTTTGGATACTCACCTTCCTGGACCTGGAGGGAGAGGGGAGGAACTTGAACTTCCCACAGGGCAAAAAACCCTGACTGCCCTTAGGGACAAAGAGGGAGGAGAAGAGGGAGGGGGGGGAATGGGAGGGTGTTGGGAAGAGGGGTGTAAATGGAAACTTTTATAATTTAATAAAATTACTTTAAAAAAAGAAGCTTTGCATTGACACAAAAGGAAACCATCAAAATGAAAGAATGTAAAATTTTAAAAAGAATAATGTGAAATTTGAGGCAGAAAGAACATTAAGTAGCAATCACTTTAACTAAATAGATTTAATTACACTTTCTTATAGAAAGGTTTTTTTTTAATAAATATCTGAGAAGAAATAATTCTATGGACCAGTTCTGGGATGTCAAATAATCTTTTCCACTTCATGAAAGCTTGGCCAAAGGGTCTTGATGACATGTGTTATGACAAAAGAACCAGTTTCATAAGATCCATATTAATGTAGGAAACCCATAAGTCCATCATAATACAGAGAGAAAAGAAAGGGTAAACAAATCCATTTGCTTATACTGACTTTCACTGTGATGGTTCTTTCAGAACATTGGTAGTCAAGGGCAAACTCTTAATCCCATGTAAAACTGATTTTTACCTTGATGTGTAAAACATTTTATAGAAATTATCATGTAATAATCCTAAAAGGGGCAAGTGAAATGGTGTAATAGGCTAAAGCACTTGCCTGTAGACCTGATGACTTGATTTCAGTTCCTGTGATCCAGATGGTGCAAAATGAGAACCAAGTAATTCCTATAATCCTCAGACTTACACATATGTGCTGGTGTGTGTGTGTGTGTGTGTGTGTGTGTGTGTGTGTGTGTGTGTGTGTAAATAGTTGAATTGCTGTCAGAAAGCAGGAAGGAGTAAATTTCTTCTCTGATAGATGTGTGTGGTTAGGCAACAGGTCAGCTCATAGTGCTCTGCCCAAAATTCCCATCATGATTTCACCATAACCAAGTAAGATATGTCATGAATCTAGACGAATTTGATATCTTCCTGTTAATTTCCCTGTAGCTATGACTTGGTTACTATACCTGAAATCAGAGGTTGTCAGGACCAAGGGCACAACCATCTAATATTCATATTATTAGCATCCATATTTTACTTTTGCTCCATCATTCTTTATTGCCCACCCTGTCTTTCCAGGACCTTTCATTCTGTGCACCATTCCCTCCACAGCATCTTTCTTCTTCCAATTGCTTCTCACAGAGGGAGAAGAAGTTGATCTTCTTCTCAATGGCCACACTATAACTCCTATCTCCTTTGGTTGCCTTTCCTTGTTCTAATTATTATATCCTATTAGACCTAAATTAGCCTCGATATTCCACTGTCTTTCAAATAATTTTAATGAATGTACTTCTATGTCCTCTCAGAGAGACTCCACTTTTAAAATTTCTGTCCCATGAAGGTAAAATAAATAGGACTAAACAACAAATGGATATGAGTCAGTGGTGCAGGAAGAACAAATTAAGTCATAAAAGGGCAATGAGTGGAAAGGGCTCACCTGATTGCACACAGGCTTGTACTTGAGCCCTGGCTTGTTCAGGATCATCTCCAGCTGCCTGCGGTTAAAGTTAGATACTCCAATGGACTTGGCCAACCCTGCATCCTTACACTTCTCCATGGCCTGTAGTGAAAGAGATAGTAAAGGAAAAATTGTGCAGTTGTTCCAAGAATTGGTGTTAAAGGGGATGCTCCAATCAATGTTGGCTTTGACTATCTAAAGATGGAGAACTTTAAAAAAAAAAATCCTGAGTCCTTAAGAAATAGGTGACACGAGAAGCCAGGCCAGCTTCTTGAAAACAAGCTTAGTTCCAATCGCCCCTATTCTCCCTATCACCTTATTCCAGCCCACGCCACTGGCCGAAGCCTACCAGGCCATCAGAGGCCGGGACACAATCCTCAAAATCAGGTAAGCCACCAACCCAACCAACTCTCACTTACCCCACCCAGCATGAGCCCAAGTGCCCCTCTTTTCCTTGTCACCTGATCTTGACCACAACTCTGGCTGAAACCTTCCATTATCCAGAGACCAGGCCAGCATCCTGAATCCCAGGTAAAACCTCCCTCCACACACCCCTGCCTCCCCAACGTAACCCCAACCACTCCACCTCTCCTCATCACCTCTTCCTTGCCCTCACCGCTAAGCTGAATACTTCCACTCACCAGATGATGGACCAACACCCTGAGTGCCAGGTAATATTGCCTCTTCCCCTACCTGTGCTCAGCCACCATAACTTTAACTGCCCCTCCTCTCCTTATCACCATATCCTAGTCCACATCTCTGGTGGACGTTTTCCATCCCATCAGAGGCCAAACCAGAATCCTGATCCCAAGAGGTCAGATCAACATCCTGAACCCCAAAGACCAGGCTTACTTACTACCTGAACAAAACAGGAAGAAGTCTCCTACATCACCAGAAACCAGACCAGCATCTGAATTTGAGAGGACCCCCGGTCTGATCAAAAGTCACACACATACCTAACCAAAACATTAGCCCCAAACTTGGGCAGCAATTTCCTGCTGGAACAGAAGCCACCCAGGACATCAAGAATTCCAGCCTCCAGTATGGGTGGAGACCCTCTAATCAACCAAAGTCCTTGGGATCCAGAAGACAAGAAAGGAAATAGAAACTAAGGAAGAAAACATCTATCCAACAAAGACAAATCAAGAAATAGGCAACTAGACCTATAATCACTCCAAATCTAGATGCCTAAAAGTAACACAACAACAAACATAAACCAGGGCAATATACTACCACCAGGGCCCAGTCGTTTCACTACAGCAAGCCATGAATATTCTAACACAACCAAAGCACAGGGAAACAACCTTAAAAGCAACATGATGTAATGATAGAAGTCCTTCAAACGTAGATGAAAACCTCCCTTAAAGAACTGAAAGAAAAAAACGACAACCAAAATGTTAGAGGAAATCAAGAAATCCCTTAAAGAATGGCAAGAAAATTAAGAAGAAGAAAACAAATAGGTGGAAAAAACAATTCAAGACGCGAGACACTAAAATTGAAATACAAGCAATAAAGAAAACACAAAGTGAATACAGAAAATGGAAAATTAGGGTAAGTGAAGAAAATACAGATGCACGCATCACCAACAGAATTCAAGAGATAGAAGAGAATGTCAGACAGTGAAGATACAATAGAAGAAATAGTGTCATTAGTCAAAGAAAATGATAGAGCTAAAAGATTCCTAACACTAAGCATTCAGGAAATCTGGGACACCATGGAAAATCCCATTAAGAACAACAGTAAGATAAGAAGGAAAAGAATTCCAGCTCAAAACCTGGAAAATAGAAACAACATCATAAAAAAAAAAATTTCCTAACCTAAAGAAGGACATGCTATAAAGGTACAAAAACCTTACTGAACACCAAACAGACTGGATCAGAAAAGAAATACCCTTTGTCACACAATAATCAAAAGTCTCAATATACAGAACAAAGAAAGAATATTAAAAATTGCTATGGAAAAAGGCCAAGTAACATCTAAAGACAGGCATATAATAATAGCACCCAGCTTCTCAACTGAGACTCTAAAAGATAGAAGGACATGGATAGTCTTGCAGACTCTGAGAAACCAACAATGCCAGCCCAGACAAATATGCCCAACAAAGCTTTCAATCAGTATAAATGGAGAAAACAAGATATTTCATGACAAAGTTATATTTAAACAATATATATCCACAAATCCAACCCTTCAAAAATACTAGAAGGAAAACTCCAACCCAAGGAGATTAACTACACTCATATAAACATAGGCAACAGATGATCTCACTACAAAAAACTCAAAGATGGGAAACACACACACTAATAATAATAATACTACAACTACTACTACTAACAACAACATTATCAACATTATAGGAGCAAACAGTCAGTGGTCATTAATATCTCTCAATATCAATGGACTCACTTCAATAATAAAAAGACACAGGCTAACAAAATGGATACAAACTAGAATTCATATTTCTGCATACAAGAAATACACCACAACATCAAAGATAAACATTATTTCATAGTAAAATGTTGAAAAAATTATTCAGTAAAATGGACCTTACAAGCACTCAAGTATAGCTATTCTATTACCTAACAAGACAGACTTCAAACCAAAATTAACTGAAAAAACAGGAAAAGACATCTATTTATTATAGTACTTGAAGTTCTAGCTACAGAACTGAAGGAGATCAAGAGAATACAAATTGGAAAGTAAGAAGTCAAAGTACTATTATTTGCTGATGATATGCTAGCATACAAAAGCAACAATAAGAATTCTACCAGGGAACTCACAGAACTAATAAACACCTTTAGTGAAATGACTCGATGCAATATTAACTCAAAAAAATTAGTAGCACTCCAATACACAAATGATCGATGGGATAAAAAGAAATCCAGAAAACAACATGCTTCACACAAATTACAAACAATATAAAATATCTTGGTGGAACGCTAACCATGCAAGTGAAAGACCTATACGACAAATCTTTGAAGAAAGAAATTGGAGAAGATATCAGAAAACAGAACGATCTCCCATTTTCATGAATCAGTAGGGTAAACAGAAAAATGGTCAACTTATCAATAACAATCTACAAATTCAATCTTATCCCCATGGAAATTCCAACACAGTTCTTACAGACCTTGAAAGAACAATTCTCAGCTTCATCTGGAAAAGGAAAAACTCAGGAGAGCTAGAATAATCATAAACAATAAAAGAACTTCCAGAGGTTTCCCTGATTTCAATCTCTACTACAGGGCTATAGTAAGGAAATATGCATGGTACTGGCATAAAAACTGATAGGTGGATCAATGAAATCAAATTGAAGACCCTGATATATATCCACACAGCCATGGACACCTGATTTTCAACAAAGAAGCCAAAATAATACAATGGAAATAAAAAGCATCTTCAAACAAATGGTACTTGCATAACTGGATATTCAAATCTAAAAGTATGCAAAAAATCAATATATTTCACCCTGCACAAAACTCAAGTCCAAATGAAACAAAGACCTCAACATAAACCCGAATACACTGAACCTGGAGTAAGTGAAAATGGGGAATAGCATTGAACACATTGGCACAGAAAACAACTTCCTGAATAGAACAGCAATAAAGCAAACTCTGAGATGCACAATTAATAAGTGGAATGTCATAAAACTAAAAAGCTAATGTAAGGCAAAGGACACTGTCAATAGAACAAAACAGCAGCCTACAGAATGGGAAAAGATCTTCACCATACCAACATCTGACAGTAGACTGATTTCCAAAATATATAAAGAACTCAAAAAAGTAGACATCAAAAAACAAATAATCCAATTTTGAAAATGTGGTATAGATCTAAACAGAGAGCTCTCAACAGAAGAATCTCAAATGACTGAGAAATACTTAAGGAGATGTTCAACATCCTTAGCCATCAGGGAAATGTAGATAAAAATGACTGTGAGATTCCACCTTACACCTGTCAGAATGGCTAAGATCAAAAACACAAGCAACAGCTCATACTGGAAAGAACATAAAGGAAAGCAAACACTCCTCCATTGCTTATGGGAGTGCAAACAGATACAGACACTTTGGAAAGCAATATGGTTATTTCTCAGAAAATTGGGAATCAATCTACCATAAGACCCAGCACACCACCCTTGAGCATATATCCAAAGGATGCTCTATCGTACTACAAGGACACTTGCTCAACTGTGTTCATAGCAGCTTTAGTCACAATAGCCAGAACCTGGAACCAACCTAGATGTTCCTCAACCAAGGAATGGATAAAGAAAATGTGGTACATTTACACAACGGAGTACTACTCAGATGTTAAAATCAATGGCAACATGAAATTTGAGGGCAAATGAATGGAATTAGAAAAAAAACATCCTGAATGAGGTAACCTAGAAAGACAAATATAGTTTTATACTCACTTTTAAGTTGATATTATCTATAAAATAAAGGATCCATGCTACAATTCACAGACCCAGGGAGGCTAAGTATCAAGGAGGGCTCAAGGGGATACTTGGATCTCCCTGGGAAGAAGAAATGCAAGAGATTTCTTGGATGGACTGGGGGCAGATAGGGATAAGAATACAAGGGGCCGGGGGGAGGTTGGGGGAAAAATATTTAAAAGGTGAACTTAAAGGGGTCATTTCAGGGTCTGGTAGAAACCTGGTGCAAGGGAAACTCCCAGGAATGTACAAAAATGACCCCAGGAAAGACTCCTAGCATAAGGGAATAGGTAGCCTGAACTGACCACCTCCTGTGACCAGACAAGACTACGAGTGGTGGCATTGGGACACTAACCCAGCCACATAACCTTAGACCTCAAGTCTGCTCTGCCTAAGGGTTGTGTAAGAGTGACACAGACTTTGGGACTGGTCAATCAATGACTGGTTTAGTCTGAGGTTCATGCCAGCAGAGTGAGAGTGAGCCACCCCTGACGCTGCTTGGAACACCACGACTCAGAGGCTGAATGACCCACATAGTGAGAATAGAACTAAACATGACAAGAGAAAAAGAAAGTCAATATAATGATGCCTAATGGTATTCTCTTATACTCATAGATTAGTGCCTAATCCAATAGTCATCAGAGAGGCCTCATCCAGTAACTGGTGGAACCGATGCAGAGACCCACAGTCAAACATTGTGTTGTCCTTGGGGAATCCTGCTGAAGAGATGGAGCCAGAGGGGTCAAGGACATCACAAGAAAATCCACAGAATCAACTAACTTGGGCTCAAAGGAGCTCAAAGATACTGAACCCAGAACCAGGGAACCTGCATGGAACTGACCTACACCCTCTGCATATGCATGATAGTTATGTATCTTGGTTTTCTTCTGGGACTCCTAACAGTGGGGCCAAGGACTGTCTCTGACTCTCTTGCTGGCTTTTGGGGCCCTGTTCCGCATATTGGGTAGCCTTGCCCAGTCTTAATACAAGGTTAGGTGGTTAATTTTATTACAACTTGATATGTCACGTTTTACCAGTGTCCATGGGAGGCCTGCCCGAATGGAGGGAGTTGGAGGGAAGGTGAATGGAAGGGACTGGGAGGAGAGAAGGGAGGGAAAAATGAGGCTGAGATGTTCAATACATACATACATACATACATACATACGTACATACATAAGAAATGGGTGACATTCCAACATTTGGTCGGAAAGAGATTCCTAAACCCCTGCCCTCCATTCTCCCCCATTCCTATTATTTTCCAATAGTGAATTCCTCTGCTAATTCCATCAACATCTTTCTTACGAAAGCTACAAATTTCTAGACTGAGCCATGTACATTCTATTCTCAGAGGTGAGGTAATACCCGACTCAACCCTCACTGTGTCCCCTCTGTATTCTCCCCTCTAAGGACTCACCTCCCATGTGTCACATAGATTCACCGGGTCCACCAACAGATTTCCATGTTCATCTCTTGGAAATAGCTTGGCTCCAGGCTGGAATAGAATCATCCATTTTAAAGATTTCACCCACATTCACGTTACCACATTTGGTCACACTGCCAAGTCTCTCAGAGTCTGGGCCATGAAACCTTCCCAAATAATTAGGACATTGTTTTAGATACATTTGGAGTGTCAAAGGATGGAACTTTAAAGATTAGCATCCCCTAATCTTTTATATTTTACTTATGCTTAAATAGTGCTTTTCTACAGAGTCTTAATGGTGTCTTGCATTACTTTTGTTATTATTTCAGCCCCTATATTTCCCTATAGGAAAATGCCTCTACCTTTTTGGTGAATCCAGTAATTATATGAACTTGGTCTCTGACAATAATGGATTATGATTTGAGCAGAACAATACATATTCTGTCACAGTGGACAGAATATTGTATAAGGGCATGCACACTTTAACTAGGCCCTCAGTCAGACTTTCTTTTCAGGATTAATGTGGGTTAGAAAGCCAGAGTAGCTCTCAAGTTTTACCAACCACGTATTTTGAATTGCCACGAGACCATATCTTCTGCCAATAGCAAATGAAAGCCCCCAACTAAATAGACAAGATGGAGAGATAAGGAATGGAGAAAGTGTCTCTGAAGCTGATGCTGTTCAGACCTTTAAATGTAGTCATGGCTTGGACTTCCTAGTTATGTAATATAATAGCCTCCATTGCACAAACTAGCTTAAGTTTTCCGTGTAATTTTATAGCAAGAAATCTGCATAACACAGTTATTAATGGCTAAATGCCATCTACAAAACCCCACCACCATGAAATATCAAGACAAATAATTTCCAATCGCCAAATCTCCAAGGGCAGGTAGTATGAGAACCAGATGCACTGGTTGGCTTTCTGCTGCCATTATCAACAGCTGGGGAGGAAAGGGTTTACTTAGTGTCTTCCACTTTCATACCACAGTCCATCATTGAGGGCAGGGACTCAAGCAGAAACTGAAGCAGAAAACATGGAGGAATGCTGCTCCAGGGTTCACTCCCTTCCTCCTTCATCAGCTACCTTCCTTCTACAGGCCAGGTCCACCTGCAGAGGGATGGTACTTTCCACAGGGGGGTGGCCATCTCACGTCAATCCATAGTCAAGATACCTTCTCAAAGACGTGACCTCAGGCAAATCTGTTCTGAGCAATTCCTCAGCTGAGACTTCCTCAGATGACTTTGGGCCCTGTCAAGTTGACAGCTAAACCTAACTAGGACACCAACACAGACTGAGTACCACCAGATCTGCTTTCAAAGTGCAATTACAAAAGATTTTGGAACCTCACTGTGAATCATGTGTGGCAGTTTTATTAATCTCCATGTAATCTGCATGTAAACACCTTCAAAAGACTAAGGGAAACTAATAGATGGTCTAATGGGTAAAATACTGAACTTGAAAGCCTAGGGACCTGAGATTGACATTCAGAACAGACGTAAAACAGCAAACAGAAAACAAAATTTAAAGCCAGGTGTGGTTGTACATGTTTGCAGTCCTAGGACTGGGAAGATGGAGACAGGGAGATTCCTGGGGCTAATTGTCCAGTCAGTCTAGACTATTTAGGATTCTAGGTCAATGAAAGACCTTACCTCAGATATATTGTGAATGGCATCTAAAGAACAACACCAGTGACTACTTCCTGTCCTTCATATGAATAAGCACGCACATGTTCACTAACAGGTATGTGAACACACATGCACATACACACACACACACACACACACACACAAAATCCCACAAGGACGAAAACCAGAACTATGGATTGGATATGGGTATTGGGTTTTTTCCCACATTCTAATGCAGAAGACCTCTAATTTATTTTCTTTCACAGGCAGGAAACACTGTTTCAAGTCTAAAGAAAAATCCTATGAAATGGAACTTGGGAATTACTGTTTAGGATTTTCATCAGAGTAATCCATACATTCACCCAAGAATATAAATCATAAATTGTCACATAACTGTTAGTTATACGGGAACCACGAGTGAAATAATGTTAAGCACACTGATTGCTCACCTGCAAAGCCATTGGGAAGTGAATAATATACAGATCAACATAGTCCAATTGAGCTTTCTTCAGTGATGTTTCCAAGCCAGATCGAACCAATTCTGGTCGGTGGAAAGTGCTCCAAAGCTGCCAAAGTTAAAGAACGAAACTTTAAACTCAGAGTTCATCCACTTTTGCTCGATTACTTTATTAACAAGAAGACATTTTCCTACAGCTGGAAACACCCTCTCTGCTTTTCTTTTTCTTCACTGGTTTTTCACATACAAACTCCATTGTGAGTACAGTCCAGTGCCTGCCACTGAACTATGTAACGTGAATATTATTGCATGCTTGGCTATTATCAGTTTATCTACTGAGCATGAAATGGAATATTTAAAGAGAAATGTTGTTTTGTTTAATAATAATGCTGAGTTTACGAAGTAACACTCAACATTGGCTTAAATCACTCACCCATTCAACCACACAGGAAGAGGTAGTACTCATTCAATATACATAAATGTAGGTTGTAGGAAAACCCTTTTGTGGGCATGTTAGTGTGTGCTAAACTTAACTGAATACACTTTAACTATGCCTTTTGTGAACCAAATCTCCCGAAAAGAAGTTGTGTCTGCAGAGACTGACTGGCCGACTGGAACTTCGATATGTGGTGAGGCTGGAATGCTGCGGCCCAGAGGCGAGTTATCTTATCATCTGGAACAGTCATTGCCTCTGCACCTCTGTGTCAGAACTAAGATCTTGTGACTAATGGATAAAAACAACTGAGACTAAATTAACTTATCAGCCTACTAACTTCCACCAATCCAAATGCTAAGAATGTCATCAACAGCATGCTAAACCTATAAAAAAAAATCTCTCTCATCTCACTCTACCTGCCTCTCTGGTGCACCCACCAATATATCTTAAATGTGTATTTCTTTATGATTTTCTTTGTTCTAAAAAAATAAAAACACTTCATGATACTACTTTCTCGTTGGAAAATAGAATTTGAGGTAAGGTAAATCTGTGTTCTTAAGCCAAGTTTACTCAAAATGGTTCCAAAATGAAGTATCTTTTATTTACTTTAATATCAGCACTATGGTTCTTATAACCCTATAGCCTGAATAATATAGACTTTCCTATACTATCCTTTTGTGTTCAATCTGTCCTTATAAAAATCTGTTTATTAGCCTGGGACAAATGCCTCTACCAGCCCAAGAGATGTATCAAACAAGTACCTCTTTCTTCCCCTCCTCAGCAATGAAGCTTAGTATGCTCTGAGCTCATTGGTGATGAGAAAAGTTTTGTTTTGTTTTTCATTGTTTATCTCTCTGGAATAAAACTCCACAGAATGCCAGTAAATGCACTCCAGTGTAGCACAACTTACAGTACCCTGGTTTTTTTGTATCTCAAGTTCTTTTCAGTTCCTCAGCAATGATCACTGTTAAGTCATGGTCTTGCTCTAGCTCTGTTTCATTCTACATTTCATGATGAACCACACTGTTTTTGACCTGAGATTCAGCACAGTATATTTACATGAAACACATAAAGTTTAACTCAACAAAGAAATATATATCTATTTTTCTCCTATCTTTAATAAATGACTGTGTGAATAAAATTTATACCAATAAGTAACGATATATGAAACAAGTATTGATCCAAACACATATTGTCTCCTCAGCTCAGCCACATTAAAAAGGTTCACAAGCATCTCATGTACAAGATACCTTTGATGTATAGAATATATCTTCTCTCTTCACAGTGCCATCTGCAATCTTGCTTCTAATGGCTTGTCCTGCTTCCTCTTCTATTCCATACAAATGAGCAGAATCAAAATGCCGGAACCCAGCATCTATAGCTATTTTGATAGCCTTGATAAGTTCATTCTTAGGAACCTAAAAAAGCAAGCAAAAATAGTATCTGTGTAGTGAAAGAGATCTGAAACACAAACAATGGCTTTCCAGTGAATCAACTTTTCCTTCTTGGAGTTGCTGACAATGTGTGGGGATAAGTCAATGCCAATTTTTCTGGATCCCTTCCAATCAGCCGCAGAGTGGAACATTCCCCAAATCTGCTCAGTGTAGAGCAATCAGCGCAAAACTGCCCTTGCAATCCTGAAAAAATATATCCTAATTCAGTGATTTGATCAAAGGACTCAGAAGTCTAATTGAGGCAGCATAGAAAGATAGAAAAACTTACAGGAATGGGATACAGGAAGAAAATGGAGCCTCTCCCTTGGAGTCTGGTTGAAGCCTCTTACCAGCTGAGAATCAATAATCCCAGCACAATTAGCAATGTGTGCTGTGATGGCTATAATATTATAACAGTCCTTTCATATTCAAATATTTTATATTAAGGAGCAATAAGCTTGACTTAAGTCCTGGCATGTCTTTGCCTTGTAGACATTGCTTATTTTCTTAAATATTTTCTGGAAATCTCAAACAAGACTGTTAACGTTGTGTACAGTAAAGATGTCCAGTTTCATGAATCCCTGTGAAATAGTTTCACTTTATCAGTTATGATTCTGCCATGTGTCATTCAGAAGCCACTCCACGAATTCATTTAGATATCTTATGAACCTTTTGAAGATAATTACTTCACTTAAATGGTATATGTGACTAGTATGAAAAAGGGTGGCATTACCTTAAAAAGCTCACACCTACATTTGGGTGTATCTCTTTCTTGCTCTTAATATCCCATTCATTCTTAAATCTCTGTTTTAAAGTGTGCTTTAGGACTAGGCAAATGGCTCAGTTGGTAAAATGCTTGTTACACAAGATGAGTTTCTGAGGTCAATCCCCCAAACTCATGTAAAATCATGGGTGTAGATGAACATACTTGTAATTCCAGAGCTGAGGAAGCAAGGCAGATCTGCCACGCCAACTCAGTCTGCTTGCAGAGCTCCAGGCCAGTAACAGACTCTGCCTCAAAGAAAACAATGTGCATAGAGCACCAGATGAACAACACCCAAGGTTGATCTCTGACCTCCTCACGCCTGCACCCATGTACAATGAATGTGTGCACAAACATAGTCATATACGTGCTCACATACACACATGCACACACGCAGACATTAGTGCATTGTTGAGAATAAAAAACAAAGAAATTGTTCTATATAAGAACTTAAGAATTTTTTCAATGAAATTACAAATGTCAAATCCTGTCTTGACTTTTCTCCTCTCTCTCTCTCTCTCTCTCTCTCTCTCTCTCTCTCTCTCTCTCTTTGTGTGTGTGTGTTTCTTTCTTTCTCTTTTACTAAAGCAATTATTTTTAATTCTATAAAGCCTAAAAAATTCATTCTGCAATTGCACCTACACCAACAAGTACAAGTGGGCAATGATATTTGATGGTTGTGGGGATCCACAGATGTGAGTCCTGTTCCACCTTGACTAAATGTCAGAGAGTTTGAGCTTATTTTTAATCTTCAGTGTGGCTACAAACAAGGTATCCTGACCTAGGATGTGATTACTTGGTGGTTTAAACATTAAGATGGCCCATAGAGGTGGATATGCTCCACTCTGACCTAAGGTCAGAGAATTCAAGCCTATTCCTATTCCTTCATTTCTAAAATAGGAGGTTTGACAAAAGGAGTGGTTGCCTACAAGATATTGAGGACTATTTACTGCATATCCTGTCCCAAACATCAGAATGCTTAACTTGGGAAATAGTGACCTGATGTCTTAAGTATTGAAACAAGTAACTGTTCTGCTTTTTTATAGGGTTATATAATCATATGGCGAACAAACATGAGTGAATATAGTATTCCTTTTTTACTGAGTTGCACTCCCAGTACTATCCTATGTCTCTGTATTTTTTTTGTATCTCTGTCTATTCTGCCTAACTTTTCTAATCCACATGCTCCTACCATGGAACGTACAAACTCATCAAAGCTAGATGCCAACAAATGGTAGTGCATTACATTCTATCCCAAGACTCTTTCAAGTAGAAAAAATTCTAAGAGGATAGTGAAATAACCATAGTTGAAAAAGTACAAAATAATGAACTTCTCAGAAAATCATCACACATTGAAATCAACTTGATACTGATGATTAATGAAATGTCCCTTTACTGAGAAAGCCCAAACCTTTGAGTCACTGTCAACATTCTCTGTCTGCTGATTCAGAGCTAAAAAATAAATAAAGGAGAGAGAACAGTGTTCTTTCAATATTTTGCTTTCACAGTGTTAGATGGAGGCCACTTAGCCCTGAAATAATCATGCAGAAACCATATTAATGAAATCACTGTTTGGCCCATTTACTCTAGCTTCGTATCACCTTATTTTTACATATTACTTTAACCCATTTCCATTAATCTGTGTATTGCCATGCGGCTATGGCTTACTGGCTAAAGTTCCGGAATCTGTCTCCAGTAGGGCTACATGGCCTCTTTCTGACGCCACCTTCTTTTTCCCAACATTAGTTTTTCCCACCTACTTCTGTCTGTTTCCCTATAGCTATGCTATAGGCCCAAAGCAGCTTATTTGTTAACCAATGATATTCACAGCATACAGAAGGGAATCCCACATCACCTCCCCTTTTCTATTTAAATAAAAAAGGAAGGTTTTAACTTTAACATAGTAAAATTACATATAAAAACATGTATCAAGCAATAATTACAGTTACAATATCTATATCTACTTTACTTTTATCATAACTAAGAAAACTAACTATAAACTTTTCAACTCCATCAAAGACTCCAGAAGGATATAATATTACCTAAGTAAACAATAAATACATTGTAAGCATCTTCCAAAACTCTAGAAATGACAGGGACTTTTTGCTGCCTGGACAGTCACCCAAAGTTCTTCTGTACCATTAGGGCATCCGTCTTCAGCCTGCTGGCCCGTAGTATCTGGCAGACTTTTCCATGAAACAGGAAATTTCAAAGACAGTTCTGCCTTTATTGGTGGTTTTCAGTCACTTTCTTCTGTGTCCTACAAAATGTCTGGTAGACTCTTTCATGAAGCAGGAACCCTAAAGGATGGTCTCACCTTTAGGCAAGTTCAGCAGTCATTTCTCTGTGTGTCCTGCATGTCCAGTTCATCAAGCAATCCAGGCAAGAACAATTTCTTGCCCAAATGACTAACCAACTCCATAAGGACCCTCTTTAATGTCCATCTTCCTCTTGAAGTAGATTGGAGCTGCCAGGAGCAGATGTTTCTAATTTTCATGATAAGTCCTCAATTCTTAAAATATTTTAAATACCATATTTTATAGTCTTTGAAAGGTTTGAAGAATGCCTTTCTATCTGAAATACATCTCTCTAACTAACGTAACTTTAATTTTTACTATTATTGATGATTATCTATTAACCTATATTTTTTAATTATACATAATATTTTTAAATGAGTTGTACAAATACAATACCATAATCAAGAGCAGAAATATGCATAAAACAACATTGACCTTAATTTGTATCCATAAAGTAAGATCAATACCAATACAAATCTCTATATCATTTTCCCCTTTAAATGTAAACAAATATTTGTAGACAATATTTGGGAATATGGGCATAGTTTTTCTCCAAACTGCTTTCTGCTGTTTATTGGGTAAAGTACTTTTTGAGGGGTGTTCAAAGTGACCTTTCAGGAGGTTTTGGTCCATTAAACTTCACTAGTCTGGAAGGATTCCACAGGTTCTCATCCTCAGTGGAAACAAAAGAAGAACCTCTTTTCTGGCTACCTACCATGGAATGTACAAACTCGTTGAGGCTAGACCCCAACAAATGGTAGTGTATTACATTCTAACACAAGACTCTTTCATGTAGAATAAATTTTAAGAGAACTGTGAAATAACTATAGTTGAACAAGTACAAAATAACAAACTGCTCACGAAATCATCACACATTGAAATCAACTTGATATTGATGATTAATGAACTGTCCCTTTACTGAGAAAGCCCAAAGCTTTGAGTCAGGGTCAACATTCTCTGTCTGTTGATTCAGAGCTAGAAAAATAAAATAAAATAAAGGAGAGAGAACAGCATTCTGTCAATATTTTCCTTTCACAGTCTGTTGAAAACTTTCTCATGAATGACTTGCACAAACAAGAATGTAAAAGAACCATCTTGTTTTGCTAAAAGATGCATGAAGATACATTTTCATCTAAGGTTTCATGATGAAGTGGGGTTAGCAGTCATGTCCAATTTACCTTTTGCATTAGATCGTTAATGGAGTTGGGAAAAAATGAGATAGGTTAGAACTTGACCACAGTTCTTTTACTTATCAAATTCACACAGCTTACAAAACAGGATTAGCTAGATACAGAATAATAGTATATCATTTGTTAATTTGACCTGCACATATATTGCACAACTCCCAGAAATGATGCTGCATCTCATTAACACCTGAGTCTGGTCTCCCTTCACCCATGTCAGATGACTTACAACTGCCTATAACTCCAGTTCCATGGAATTCCACACCTTCTTTTGACCTTGAGATCTTATATCTGTACCCCCACACATACATACATACATACATGTGTATATACATACATGCATTGAAATGAAAATAAATCTCTCAAAATATCAGAAATGATGACATTAATTTAAATGATATTATTTATGTGGAACTCAAAATGTTGCATTTAATACAAATTAAAGGAAATAATAATGCTATGAGTTATTAAAACAGACACATGAACCTGAACCCCCCTAATATCATATAAAAATATCTATTTACATAAGTATTTGTTCTGGTTCTATTGTGAGTAAAAAGCATTCTTATGAATATAACACACATCATCTTAACTATATAAAATTGTTTATAGTACCTTTTTGTGTTCATTATTGCAGCTGGCACCTTGAAATTCACCATTTTTTGTTTGAAAATAAGATAAAAAATTCAGTACTTTAGATATTGCTCTATATGCACAGCTTACATGTATGCATCATAATTTTTAAAAATGACTTATAAAGAATAGAATCAAAATGAGCTTGTTTTTACTAATACATGGATTTGATTCATCTTCACCAACAAAGAAGATAATAAGAATGAAGATAAGTTATAAAATTTTTCTTAATTTTTTTGTTTGTTTGTGTGTGTGTGTGTGTGTGTGTGTGTGTGTACACACGTGCACAGATGTGTGCATGTGTGTGTGTGTTCTACATCTGGAGGTCTAGAAAGACATATGAAAGTCAGTTCTCTCCTTATACCATATGGATCCTAGGAATCAATTGAACTGCAGTCATCAAAGACCCCACACAATTTTCCAGGAATTGTTTTCTCAAATGTAGTCAAACTTCCTAAAATATTATAATATTCTTCTTGGACACTTTTCCATTTAATTTTTTTCATCTTATGTGTGTGAATGTTTTGTCTGTATGGATATCCATGCCTCACTTGTCTACTTCCAGTAAAGCAAGAAAATGTTGTTGGATGCCCTGGAATTGGAGTTATAGACAATTGGAAGTACAATTTGGGTGCTTGGGACCCAACTCCTCTGCAAGAGTAGCCAGTGCTCTTAACCAACACTACCTCCAACAGTTGTCCCTTTGGACTCTCTTGAGCCCAGCCCTGTAATTTTCTAAGTTGTGGTCACCTCTACAAATTTATTGAAAGCGCAGCTGTTGTAATATGTTTGCTCTTTATCTCTCTCTCTAGCTATGCATGCTATGAAGTAAAATTTCCTACCTAAAGAAGTAAAACTATCTTGGCCATTATGTCTTCTGCAGAAGAAAACTGTCATTCAAGCTTTAAGTGCTGTCCTTGACACTCACTGAAAAAACGGGAGGATAAAACCAGAATGTAAGCACTACCCCATGAGAACCTCCTGTGGTATTTTGATTGAAGTGTCATAAACAGGAACAAGGAACGAGAATTTAGAGTTGCTTTGTTAAATATAGTACACCCATATAATGTTTTATTTATTTCTTTATTTGTTTGGTAAATGTTTCTACAGTGAAAGTAGAAAACAAACCTTATTTCACCACAGGTCTGGAATTTGTGCTGTGGTGCTTAGTCCCTACTGGTAAGCAAAACACAATAAGCTCATCATTTTTCATAAGTAACATTAATAAAGTCTATCGAAATATTTTATCTGCATCATATCTATCAGAAAAGGCAATTACTTAAATCACAGAAATAATCCACATCACTAAGCCCATTACAATCAAACTCAAAGTACAATAGTAGCAGTCATAGCTGATTTCCACTTATTGCCAAACAGGCAGAAACTAAAGGAAAAACGGAGTCAAGAATAAACAGTACTGTCTTCATAAATCTCCAAGGAACAGTAGCAAGACTGCCTTCTCTATTATACATGGATAAATCTAATCTGGAGATTCTAGAGGACTACTTCAAACAGGAGCAAATCTGAAAGTACCCTTCAACTTCCACACATCCTTGATTTTTTTTTTAATAAATCATTATAACCCAAGACACAATTGTTACCTTCTCAGGTACAGTGGTTCCAAACCCCAGTATAGGAATGAAGTGACCATCATTCAGAGCTACACGGAGAGATTCAGAATTCATAGCTTGTCAATCACACAATTAAACAGGTCTTGAGTCTTCTGCTTGCACAGAGTGCAGTCCAGCCAAATGTGAAAGCTCCTTAAATAGCTAGTGGAAAGTTAAACAGTGGCATGTGGGAGGAGCTGCTTAAAGCAATAGTCCACAAAAAAGAGAGCTAAAGACTGCTTGTATTTGTATGAATGTGAACTCTAATAAATTACTGGAGAGTGAAAATGAAAGCATGAACTTCTTGTTCTGTTCATAATCCACATTTACTTCTTTAAATTGAAAAAAGGAAACTGCTGGATAGTAACTGATCAATCAGATGTTACCTACAACTTCTGATGGGGGTTCAGTTTCTCTTGAAAAGGGTATCTCTTCTTATTTACTTTGTAAACAGTAAGATTCTCATTGTGACTTTTCCACATAGGCACATGGTATCTTGATATCTTGATCATACTGCCTTGTCCACAATGTCTTTTGTTATCTCTCTGACTCCCTAAACAGCCCCCCCTTCTACTCTATGTCTTTCTGAAAAACTAGACACCATCTATGGAGAACACATGAGCTATTTGCCTTCCTAAGTTGTGATTTTTATGTTTATCAAGATCATTTTCACCTAGCTTCATCCATTTTGGTGCAAATAAGATGCTATTTTCCTCCTTATATCTTAATAAAAGTCCACTTTATATGTAAGCCACATTTTCATTATCCATTCATCCCCTGATTGGCACCTAGACTGATTCTATATATTGGTCACTGCAATGTACCTTTAAAAACATGGGTATGTAGATATTGCTATTATACTCACTTTGATTCATTTGCATACAATTCAGGAGCAGCATATCTAGACCAAAATGAAGTTTATGTTTTAGTTTTCTGAAGCTACTCATACTGATTTCCATACTGGCTGAAGTAACTGACATTCTTACCAGCATTATAGAAGGACCCCACAATTCCCCTTCCTCAACAGCATTCATTGGTCTTTATTTTCTGGATTCAATCATCTGATTGGTGACAGGATTTCTAGCTTTGCTTTGCATTTCCTTGATTCCCATGAAAAGTGAAGATTTTTTATACTCTTATTGGCCATTCTAGAGCTCTTTACAATCTTCACTTATCATTGAATGGTTTATTATTTGGATTGTTCAGTTCTTTAAATGTTCTGGATGCTCATATTTTGGAAGATGGATAGCTGCTAAAGGTCCACTTGCGTTCCATAGGCTGTTCCTTCACTTTGATAATTGTTTCCTTTTCCTACTGCTTGTATTTTTCCATAGATTCTAGATACTATGTTGAGATTTGCATAGCAGTTAGAAAGTTTATCTTTTCTATTTTTTGTAAGCACCTGCTAAATAACCAGCCTTCTCTTTGAGACTTCATCCTCTATGCCACTCAGAGAACAGAAAACAAATTAAAGAAAAAATACAGCATTTTACAAAAACAGATAGTTGAGTTTGCCTTGTTTCACCCATGTGATGATGATGACACACGCAACTGAGTGGAGCACCCTCGGAGGTGATACTGGTACAGCCACCCCTTCCCTTAGTGGTGTGGAATGGCAGGATTGCTTGCTGCACTAGTAATTGCGTTCTCCTTGAAACAGATGAAAAGACAAACACAACTAATACTGCTTCAACTAAAAGTTACATATCTGTGCGGGGAAATCCAAACATAGCCATCTTGCACTATGTATTATAGATTGGAATGTCTCCTTGAAGAATGGGCTGTGCTACATGATTACAGAGGGTCCTCCCAAGCATCTGAGAAGCTAGGTAATATACTACAACCCCTGAAAGTAACAAATATAGGATGGAATTGTAAACAAGCTATGATGTCAGTTGTACAGCCGTTGATCTGGGCAATAAGATAAGTAACTGAGCACGCAGTTGATAAAAAATAAAAGCTTCTCTGAATAAGAGAGGAAGTCCAATGAGGAAAAGACATGTGGATGCATAGGTTGTCTGTATGAACAATGAAAGGTCCTGACACAATATCCTGAGTACAAATCTAAACTGTGGTAGTGAAACAAGCGGTCCAAGTTGTGGGTAACATAAGACAGGATTACAACAGCCTTTAAAACATATCACGAGGTGGTTCCCAACTTGATATATGAAACAAAAGCTTAAGGATTCACTAGTGTCGGGAGAATATAATCACTGCTACTGGTCAGGCTTCAATAGCATCATTGTTTCTCAAGCTATTGAAAGTTGCACCCACCCTTAGCTGAGGAGCTATTGATAGCTGATGTCTGGTTAGAGAGGGAGAGTCAGTTTTCATTCAGTGTGTGGCACCTGATAAGTGAGTCGTGCTGAATAGATGAGCAGCACAAACTGAACTCCTTTTGAAATTAAGAATAAAAAGAATACATGAGTTTGGTAGGTGTTCGGTGGATCTAGGTGGAGTTAGGGGAAGTGGAGGAGTCAAATACAATCAAAACATAATAATCATTGTGACACTCCCAAATAATTAGTAAAAAGTATTGTGTTAAAAGAAAGAAAGTTGAGCATAGTTGCTCACACCTTTAATTCAGTACTCAGGAAGTAGAAGCAGACAGAACTCTGTGAATTTGAGACCAGCCTGGTCTACAAAAAGAGTTCTAATGCAGTTAAGGCTTTGTAGAGGGGCACTGTTTCAAAATAAGAAGGAAAGAAGAAAGGAAGAAAAGAGGGAGAAAGGAACGAACAGAAGGAGGAAAGAAGGAAATGGCACCTAACATTCCCACTCGGTTACCATTATCCATTCTTCCCACTCCTCAATTTACTTCAAATAATTGTCAATAATATGAAAGGTCGAGATTATAATCTTACTTACAAACTAATAAACTAGTTAGATATGTTTTGTACATGGGGGTGGAAACCCTGAAACTTCTGGGTTAGGAATAAGTGAGAATTCATATATGTGGCCAAAGTAAGGTCACTTTTGCATCAGTTCCTGCATTTCTAGGTTTCAGAGCATGAAGTGAAACAATTCAATGACACATGAACATTCAGTAGATTGAGTAAAAAGAGAAAAACTTTGAGTAATGAGAACCCATATTATTAATGAACAGTAAGCATGGTTGCCTCATTGACAAGGAGATTGGCTATTTACTTTAATAGACATGATTCACATTTCCTTGCAGGGAGATGCTGTCTCTACACCTCAAGACTGTTCAATAAACAAACTTGCTGAATAAATGTAGAGTGAAGCACAGTCAGTCCCTCCACCTGGCACATGTAAAAACAATGTAAGAAATTCCAGCAGGTAGATAGTTATATGTTCCTACCCTTAGGCATAGAACACATGTTAACTGTTAGTGCTAGAAGAGCATGTGACAGTTTCTCCTAAGTGTGTAGCCCTTTATTAGCTGACCACATTCCAGTGAAAGACCACACATCCAAAATTATTTTGGTAGCACAACTAATCTTAAGAAGATTTGTTTTTGGTGTTGGTTGGTTGGTTGGTTGGTTGGTTGGTTGGTTGGTTGATTGGTTGGTTAGTTGGTTAGTTAGTTGTTTGGTTGTTTGGTTGATTGGTTGGTGTGGTTGTTTCTTTAGGAGACTTCGTTGGATGGATAAGGAAGGAGAATGGATCTAGGAAGAGCTGAGGATAAGTATGCATGCATGAGATTTCTGTCCCACTTGGTCCTGCAACCAACCGTTCAGTTCCCAAGAAATACATTAATCATAAACTGATTGGTCTATTAGCTCAGGCCTTATTAACTCTTACAGCCTGCATTAACCCAGAATTCTTGTCTGTGTCAGCAACATGGCTTGGTACCTTTGATTAGCAAGGCATTCTTATGTTGCTTCCTCTGCATCTGAGTTACGATTGCAGAATCAGCCTTTCCTCTTCTAAGAATTCTGCTGCTCCTGCCTGGCTACTGGCCAATCAGCATTTTATTAAACTAATACGACTTACAAAACTTTACAGGGTACAAGACCATTGTCCCACAGCAAGTATAAGAAAAATACATACAAAATTCTCAAAGAACTGATTTCAAGAAAAAATAAAGATAAAGAATAGAATAAATAAGTAAATAGAAAACAGAAAAACAAAAAACAAAAGCAAACAAAACTTCAAAAAGTAAAATTTAAAAGAAAAACTGTAAGAGATTAAGAAGAATTAGTTTCCAAAAGATGCTTATTGATTTCTCTTTTTTTGTCTTATTTTTGCTTTTTACTTATGTGTATGTCTTGGGGGACAGGTAAATGCACATGAATACGTGTGCCCAAAGAGGCCAAAAGATGGATTTAGATATCCTGGAAGCAGAGTTACATGGAATTGTGCAGTGCCAACACGTGTGCTAGGAACCACATTGCAAGAACACCCTCTTACCCTCTGAGCCTTCTCCAGTCCACCCCTCCCCATTTCTCATTGAATACTTCAGGTTTTAATTTGTTAATAGCCTACTTTTTTCAGTAGAATTTTATATTCAAAATGTTCTCTCTCTCTCTCGATATATATATATATATATATATATATATATGTCTTTTTCTCTCTCTCCTTTTCTATCTCTCTCCCTTCACTTCCCCTACACCATTTATCTAAACAAAACTACCCACTTAAAAATATTTATATGCAAACTTAGTCTAAATTTTCCTAATTTATTATAAACCAATGCCTGGAGGAAAAAAAGATATTCAACAAAATTTTGCTAGGAAATAAAAAAGGAATGTATGCTATTGACAAGCCTGCTTTGATAACTAAGAAATCCAATAAATTAGTAAGACCTATTCTTTACAAGCAGAAAAGAGCTCTAAAATTCTTGAATAAAGTTGAATAATTTTTAAACATTACATTTAAAAGTATATCATCCATGTTGAAATTGATTTTAATTTTATAAATAATAAGGCAGTCATGAAATTACATAAAAATTAAGAAAGATACATCAAATATTTCTTTTTATTTTATAAATTCTCTGTAATTTGTGTGTTATTTTTTTTAATCATCAGGAAAAATACTTGAGATTTTTGTAACATTTGACAAACACATGGAGGCAGAAATCCTGCTTCTCAACCACCCCACCAAACACAGATACACAGATGTCTGGAGGAAGGAGAGTCTCTGTAATGTTTAACAGCTCATGCTCAGTATTCTTCTAAAAATGGATAGTAAGGGTGATCCACCACACTGAAAGAGAAGAAGAAACACTGGTTTTACACAAGTCACACTTCTGAGAGAAAACGTGAGGATAGGTATAATATGAGAACCCAGAAAAACTACAGTGGACCCTGTCTTGCTATGTGCAAGGGAATGCATCAGTGATTAAGGCTGTGGATCAACTGATTTCATTATTTTCTTCTTAGAATTTTGTTATGATTGTCTGTGTGCCAAGACATGCTTGTGTAGGTGAAAGAAAACCTTTAATGTAGCTTGGAAAAGGACTGTCTCAGGGGAAATGTCATTGAATACCAAGAGGAGGAAGTTGAAAGGGAATGATGTTTTCCCTAGGACTTATTCATATCACCTTTGAGAGTTCATCTTCCACAAAGATTATTCAAAGTACACATTATACTGCTTTAATATGAACAAAGTTAGAATAGGTTTTAGTGTAAAAAAAAGTTGAAATAATTTTGATGTATAACTGTACTTTCATTATTATTGAATTCTCTTTTATTTCTTTGGATTACAGTACACATTAATGAGAAAGTATTTTCATGAGCCTCTTACTATATCATGAGCCATAGATAATCTGTTCTCTGAGTCTAATGGGCAAGTGAACCCTAAAGACATTTGTTTTGGCCAAAGATCATAGCGCATTTTTTAACATGAGTTCACGGTGATGCAACATTGACCATTTGAGGGGACAAGTTCACATGTATTCTGTGTTTCAGATGAACTCACTGTGTATCAAGAGTGACCTTAAACTTCTCATCCTCCTGTTTCTATCTCCCAGGGGCTGAGAATAATGGTTTAGACTATCATGTCTGTTTTAGGCTTGGGAAGTGATGAACCAACCAATCTACAGTCCCAGATTGGCCAGTTTTGAAATGGGGTTGTCCTGAGTCTCACTGCATATCATGAACTTCAGAAGGAATTCTTCTCTTCTAAGGTCCATAAGGATGCCTTCCTTTGTTGCAAACTTATTCTGAAAATCAGTTGTGTCTTCCGTACTGACACTGTATTAAAATACTCTCATGTGTTGTTTCAGCTCACTGAAAAGCTGGCTCTGGAAGCAGAGTTGCCACTTCCTTCATTTAAGACCCAAGTATTTTTGTCTCAATGTATCCTCCAAGGCCCCTTGCCTAGGGTTGGGATCCCCCCACCTCTGAAAAAACTCTGACAGGGAATGAAGAAAACAGTAAAACAGCCCAAGAATGAAAACATCATGCTTTTGAGAACATTGAGAGGTTTCCATAGTGTAAATTGCCTGCCATGGGAAAAAGAAGCCAGAAGTTCAGCCATCTTCCCCTGTGACCTGCATATAATAATATACTGGCCTGCTGTGTGAACTCTGTTCCCATAGCACTTTGTTTTACTCCTAAGAGGAGAATGCCTCCCACCTGCCAAGGAATGCCAAGGGTAAGGTGTGTCCCCTCCCCTTATTAGCTGTGCAGCTTTGTGTGCTCAAAGACATTATTCAAAGAACCCCCTCCAGTCAAGAGATCTCCTGTCTCCTGAGCACTTCTAGTGATAAAGAAATAGTCTGAATGTTTTCCATCATTCCTGCCTTCCTCCTTTGAACTCTGAGCTTTCCATAATAAAGAAAACTTCACAGAATGCCAGTAAAGGCATTCATGAGCATCAGATCCTAGTCCCTGGTACTATTGAATCTTTAATTTAACCTCAATTCCTCACCACCAGTCACTGGTAGATCTCCATTTTCCCAGGTCTCTGCTGGATGTTATAAGCACCCATTTGGATAATGTTATCTCTCTCTTCTGTGGTTTGTTCTACTTGAAATCCTCACCCTAGGGGCTCACTTTTCTCTGCTCAAGACTGTCTATTAGGAAGTGCCTCAACTTCTCCAGCTGGATTTTCCTGAATGCTTGTAAGCATCCAGTTTAGTAACACAATCTTTTTGCTGTCATGTGTCCTTTTACGTAGAAACCTCCCCTGAGTAGACCCTGTCCTCTGTTTGAGACCCTCTCTATTGAGAACTCAGGCTGATTGTTTTAAAGTTTTTGTCTCAGTCAACTTCTGGATATTCTGAGTGTGCAATTTAATTATGTTTGCAACCTTCTATCTATCACTACTTATTATTTTCATTTACATATATATGTATATATACATAAACTCACTCATTCAGAAGCAAATGCTTAGATACACTGATCATTACCTGAATCCTCTAGAACATCTTCATGGTTCACCCCATGTTACAAAAAGCAAATAACCCATAAAATAGTCTAGAGGCATTACTTACAATGAAAATTTAGAATAACGAAAATTTCTGTTGAGGCCATCAATCACTTTCATGTCATCCGGGGTCAATTCAAAATCAAACACCTAGAAAGAAATACAGACTCAGGAAAAAATAAGAATAATGAATAAATAAATAAATAAATAAGCCATTGAAGTGACCCTCTACCTGGAAATATAAGTGTGATAGCAACAAGGGTGACTTTAAGAGAAGAATTTTATTCACCATTGGCCTCCAGATTGCCTGGGTCTCAGAACTTTTGGCTGAATATGGAAGGCCCCTCCTTTCCCAATTCTTTCCTACTTTGATCCACTTCACAAAAGAAAGACTCAGCAACCCCTAATCTTAAGAAAGGCAGGGAAAAAGAACTTCCAAATTAATTTTCAAATCTAGATGAAATACTAGAATTAGTCTCATCAAAATTTGTTGATTTTTTTTCTTACTTCGCTACCTTGGACTTTAATCTAGCTTTGAATAATTCCCCTCCCCAAGTCACATAGCATAATTCAACTCCTCTCTAAGACTTGACTGAGTTGAAGAAAAATTTCCCCTGATTCAACCATATCACTTGATCATCTCATGTTCTCAAACATTATCAGACATTATTTTTTTTATCAAAAGAACTTTTCTGATATTATATATAATTTAAATTTATTTATATTATGTAAATTTAGATATATCTGTATAATCATCTATATCTATTAAAGGTATCTGTGATGGTTAAAGTTCTGTCAGGTTGACAGAATCATTCTAGACAGAATCTAAAACCATCTGTCAACTTGACAGAATCTAAAACCATCAGTGAGAATAGAACCATCAGTGAGATGAGTAATAGGGCATGACTGTATAGAATCACCTTTGTAATGCTAATTGATATGAGAAGACCCATCCTGATTGTGGGTAGGATCATTCCCTGAGCAGAGGATCTTGGACTGCACACAGCAGAGAAGTGCTGAGCATGCATTCAACCTTCTCTACATTTGACTGTGGATGCAATGTGACCAGCTCCCTCGGGCTCCTGCCACTATAATTTCCTTGCGATGGTAGACTGTACCCTTGAAGTGTGATCCTGAATATACCCTTTCTTCATAGAGTTGCTTCTGTTAGGATATTTTATCACAGCAATAAGAAGAGAAACCAAGACACTGTCCATCCATCTATCCACCAGAAGTTCTTCTGAAAAATACATTCTTTAAGTAATATGGCTGCCATATTGCAGGTGATAGTGCTTGTTGACACTTTGTTCCACCCCTGAGATGCAGTGGTAAAAGAAGAGAAACAATTCTCACAAGTTATCCTCTGGCCACACGCTATGTGCTGATGAGTGTGCCCTCAAACACAAATACATACAGAAACTAAATATAGGGTAATTTTTTAATCATATGAGATTCTAAACAAAACAAATGAAAAACCACTGACTGATAGGAGAGACTAGCTAGTGCACATATAGGAAAGCAGTTAAGGAATAACTTTAATCATTGATTTCTTCATATGGTCAATCTATAAATTTATCTAGCTCTTTTCTTCATAGAGAAACAACAATGATTAAAATAGAAATGGCCATATATATCATCCCATACCTCAGAAAGGACGCCAGTATATAACTAAATAATTGTAAGTTAATGGAAAACACACACAGACCCATGGCCAGAACTATGGACGTTTAAATAAAAAAAGCAAAAATGTATCGGAATAGTGCAGTGAGTTAACCAACCTGAAATTGTATTTGTATTTAATATTTTTTCTTAAAGATTAATTAATTTATTTATTTATATAGTATCCTGCCTGTAGGCCAGAAGAGGGCACCAGATCTCATTATGAGTGGTTGCAAGCCCCCATGTGGTTGCTGGGAATTAAACTTAGGACCTCTGGAAGAGCAATAGGTGCTCTTAACCTCTAAGCCATCTCTCCAGTCCTTAGATTTAATCTTAATCCAAATTGTAGTCCTTAATACTAACAGGGATTTTAAAAGCAGAGAATACAAAGAATAGAAATGAAGTTATTTAAAGTTCTCTGCCTTCTGAAAAGACTCTCACAACCAACTGAAGTAAAGGAGATACAATATAGCTGGTTAAAAAAATTGTAAAAGGCAAAAATAATATGGAGGAAACCCAGGCTTTTGCTCAAGGCTTTCTCTGCTGCCCGTTCAAGCTGCTGTCTGTAGCACATGGCAGCAATGCATGGGAGCAAATAAATAGCAAGTGTTCCCATGTGAGGGAAATTGACCCCCAGGTCTCATTCTGGAGAAATGTCCCTGGGCCTTTACCTCAAAGTTCTCTTTGATTCTCTTCTCATTGAAGCTCTTGGCCAAAACTACTACACCTCTCTGTAGCTGGTAGCGCAGGGCAACCTGGCCTGGAGTTCGGCTGTGTTTCTTGGCAATGGTCTTTAAGATAGGTTCCTCCAGAAGGTATGGGCTATCACTGCTTATCCTGAAAAAAATGCAGACATACACTCACAGAGATAACAAATCTGGAATATGTTGACCCCTTATCTATATTCCCAGACCTTTTAGAAGTACAATATAGTATAATTAAAGCAGAATTTTGTAAGTATTCACAGAGATTTTTTTATTGTAGCAACTGTAAACAACTAATTTACCCATCAATAGATCAGAAGATGAATACTGTGTAGGACAGGTAACCATATAATAGAATATAACAAAAATACAGATACTCCCTTTTATCCTCAGAGAGTATGGGAATAACACTGATCCAAATGTATACTATAAATAGGTGTGTGTGTGTGTGTACATATGTGTGTATGTGTGTGTGTGTGTGTGTGTATAAACTGATACTTTTTCCAACTTATATTTGATGAATAAGTGAATCTTATGTTTGATGGTATACAAAGCTAACATGAATTTTCTTTTTGACAATTTCAGGATAGAAGAGTCACTCTTTTCATGAATTTTAAAAATCTCAGTGTATAAATTTTCTCTTTCATTAAGCTGAGAACTTGCTCATTATCAAATGAAGTAAGTGCCTCTTTTTGCTCTATCCAAGTTTCAAGCACTACTATTCTCATGCTTTTGAACCTTTATTAAGTAAAATAAGGTTCGTTAAACACAAGCCCTGCCATGCTATGATGGTTGTCCCGATAAACCAAACAACAAACAAGTGACTAGCAAACGTGGACTAGATTTGGTGAGGATACACTGAAAAAGGATAATCCTTGCCCCAGAAAGCATGAGATTTCATCAAGTTACTTAGAATAATATGCAATTTAAAATTAAGAATTTCACATTTCTAGATATCCATTGATAATTTCAAGCTACCATTAATTGATAACAGAAAGTATGGAAAGGAAAGAAAAAGGAAGGAAGGAAGGAAGGAAGGAAGGAAGGAAGGAAGGAAGGAAGGAAGGAAGGAAGAAAGGAAGGAAGGAAAGAAGGAAGGAAGGGAAAGAGAAAAAGAAAAAGACAAAAGGAGAGACAGAAAGACAAACAGACAGAGATGGAGGAAGAGGAAATAAGGAAAGAATTCAAGAGAATAGCTATAAAATTTCATGAGCTCAGGTAATTGTGCTGATACAGGCCAAAAAGGCATAAACATGTGCCTTTTTTATATTCCAGATAGACACGGGAGCATAAGTCTGTAATCCCAGTGCTTGAGAGACAGAAGCAGGAGGTCCCCATTCATGAGTTTGAAGACAGTTTGCTCTATACAGCATGATCCTAATTCAATCCATTCCCCTCACCCATAAGCACAACATTCCTACAGAACAGGGAAAACTTCTCTAGAGCAAAAGAACAGTACAAAAACTAATAGTCTGAGACGTGGGGAAAAACTGTCTCAGAAGTAATAAGAACTTAAAAGACTTGCAAAAAACTATTTATTATTATTATTGATTAACTTCTGTTTCATTTTGCTTTACTTAAAAAAAATCAAGTTTTTACAATAAAGGCTACACTCTATTAAAAGCTCAGGACAAGAGACAATGTCTTTGACAGTCATCAAAATGTCTTCTTTCTCAAGCTCTGTCTTAGTTACGGTTTCTATTGCTATGATAAAGCATCATGACAAACACAGCCTGGGAAGAAGAGGGCTCATCTCATCTTACACTTCCACATCATAGTCCATCCTCAAAGGAGTTCACAGCAGGAGCTGAAGCAGAGGCCATGGAGGAAGGTGGCCACTGCCTTGCTCAACTTGCTCTTATACAGCTCTGGACCACAATGGTGGCCCCACCCACAGTGGGCTAGCCCCTCCCACATAAATTATTAATAATGACAATACCACACAGACTTGCCAATTGGCCAATCTTATAGAGAAAATTTGTTTTAATTATGATTTCCTCCTCTTACCAGATAAGTCTAGGCATGTGTCAAGTTAACCAAAAAAAAAAAAAAGAAAGAAAGAAAAAGAGATAAAAAAGAAAGAGAAGAAAAAAATCAACCAGTGTGGGAAGAACTCAGAATTCACTAAAAAATGTAATAGCAATACTATTTTCCTCAGCCTATGGAATTTTAACATATCAATGTACATACAACTATAAGTTTATAAATTCAGCTGCATATATCCTTTGAAAAATCTCTTATAACATGTTAGATATCCTGCAAGTCAATTTCAACACTTAGAAAGACAGTCCTATTTTCTTCTGGGAGTTCTTTTTTGAGTTTCTGTATAACATAACTGATATTATGAGGGAAGATGGTTCTAAGCCCTTCCTAAATTAAACATTGAATATTGTAGAAATAAGAAAGATTCTAGAAATGTTATGAATGTGGGGTTTACATTCCACCCACTTGTCAAAATGGCCTGGCTAGGATATAGTTTACAGTTGAATCTCTGTAAACTGTGCCTTAAAATCTCTTTTAGAACTATGTTTATTAGTGCTGCAAACAGGTAGACAGATAAAGCAAGAATAAAAGACCACTAGCGAGAATGAAGTTCAACCCTGGTGCAGAGAAACTCCTGCACTATTGAAATTGTTTCTTCATAGTTGAACTTTTCTACAAGGTTAAAAGTTAATGTTTGTCAACATGGAATTGTTGATGGAAGGAAATAAAGTCCAAAAGTCTCATTACCAGTTAGGGTCTCTGTGGGATCCCAGGGCACTGTAGGCAACTAGAACAATGTCTTTGGACTTGCAGAACTCCAGAAGTTTGCTCTGGTTGAGATACGGGTGACATTCTACCTGTAAATTTCCAAAACAAAACGGTGTTAGAGTGTATAAGCCAACAAAGTCATGTAGATTTTAAAAGTGCCTTAAGGGCACATCTACTTCTATCCTGACTTAAGTACAATGTGTTTCAAATTTTCCCAGAAATACTTTCTTCTGTCCTTTAATTAGCACTTTAAGATTAAAATCTCCCATTTCCAACTTGCAGTCTCTGTCAGTTTCTATAGAATGAAGCTATAGCCTGTGAGAGCAATGACGGGGTACATCTGTGTGTGAGAAGACTACAAACTGAAGATAAAATCCTTTGCCCCTAGAGAGGGAAGAAGGGGCAGCCTTGTAGAAGGACCAGATGTTCAGGGGAACAAAGGAGGGGAGAAAGATGGATGGCGAAATGTCTTGCCTTTTAACCTTCAGGGACTCACATGACCTTGGTCTTCTGTTATCAAGCCTTTTGCTCTGATCCTCAATGTATAAGAAATTCAAAAGCAACCTACCAAACTATCACAGTGATCGGTGAGTGACTAGTTTCCCCTAAAGTGGGGAACTTTAACAGGATAAATGGCTTGATTTCTGTCATAAACAGATCAAAGGAGAAAGAGGGTGAGAGTGAGAACAGAGAACAGGGAGAAGGGAAGTGGAGGAGGAAGGATGGAAAGGGGATATGAATGCAAGAGAGCGAACCCCTGATTTCAAGAAAAACTTCATAGACATACCACCCAGTTGCAATTCGTGGCTATTTTACCACCGTACTTTGAATCAATTTGCTCTAAAAATAAAAAAAAAAGGCTAGATGTGGGGTGGAGGGATAGCAGAGTAGTAGGGTGAATGCCTTTAATCCTAGCACCCAGGAGAAAGAAACAAGCAGATCTCTGTGAGTTCAAGGCCAGTCTAGACTATAGAGCAAGTTCCAAGACAGGCTCCAAAGCTACACACACACACACACACACACACACACACACACATCTAAAATGGCTGAAAGGCACTTAAGGAAATGGTCAACATTTTTAGCCATCAGCAAAACACAAATCCAAATAACTCTAAGATTACATCTTATACCCATAATAATGGCCAAGACGAAAAACACTGATGTCAGCTTATGCTGAAGAGTTGTGGGGTAGAGAGAACACTCCTGCATTGCTGATGGAAATTCAAACTTGTACAGCCTTTTTGGAAATCAGTATGGTGATTTCTCAAAAAATTAGGAAACAACCTACCTCAAGACCCAGCAATATCACTTTTAGGTATATACCCAAAGGATGCTCAATTATACCACAAGGACATGTGCATAACTATGTCCATAGAAGCATTATTTGTCATACTCAGAGCCTGGAAACAATCTAAATGTCCCTCGATCAAAGAATGAATAAAGAAAATGTGGTACATTTGCACAATGAAATATTACACAGCAGAAAAAAATAATGACATCTTCAAATTTGCAGGCAAATGAATGGATCTAAAAAACATCATACTGGTGGAGGTAAACACAGACCCAGGAAGACAAGTATAACATGTACTCACACATAAGTGGCTTTTAGACATAAAGCAAAGAAAACCTAGAATTCATAACCTCAGAGAACCTAGACAACAATGAGGACTGTAAGAAAAATATACATGGATCTAATCTGCATTCGAAATAGAAAAAGACAAGATCTCCTGAGTAAATTGAGAGTGTGGGTATTATGGGAGAGGACAGAAAGGAGACTGGGAAAGAAGGGAGGGAAGCAGAGAAAAATATATAGTTCAATAAAAACAATTAAAAAACTGTCTTAAAGAATAAATAAATAAATAAATAAATAAAACATCTTACAAGGTATAGTAAAAACACTTAGCTACTTGGGAGTGTAAGGCAGGAAGATTAAAATTTTAGGTCAGCCAGATTATTCACAGAGAGACTACCTTAAAATAATTCATTAAAGATCACAAGCTAAAACTTAAGTGTTAGAGCATTTGCCTACTGTGTGTGAAGCCTCTAGTTCAATCCCAAAACCATGAAAACAAAAAGACGTGGTCATACTTTGACACCCTTGCTGAAATTGTAGGTGTTTTATTTGTGTTCAAGCATTGTTAATGATTTTAAACTATGTATTTTTAAAATATGGACTAAAACTATATGATGCCTGCCTCAAAACTTCTTATAGTGTGTATATGACAAATTTGTACAGAAGAGAGATTGTTTGAGTGTGTTGATGGGCACAGGTGAGGGAAGTTTTACTTCCACAATTCTCAGTGCATTTGTAGCTCTAAATTCTGCAAAAATTAAAAGTCTTTGAAATTTCTTAAAAAATATTTCCATTCTAAATTTAGGAAGGAAACCAACACAGATTATCTAGGGTGCCACAAAAACAATACAGGAGCAAGGCAATTTTGCTGTGCTTTATTTCAATCAGTTTTTTTTTTAAGATTTTATGTGATTTTCAGGACAAGCTCACATTGTGAGTGTTACTGAGCAGTGGTATTCCTTCTAAGGGTTGTGATTTCAGTCAATCAAACTGCCTTGCCCTGTCTTGTTCTTCCCACTCTAGTCAACCTGAGCCATAACTGAGATTTCCTGTCTCAGTGAACATAGCTATAACCTAAATAGCTGGTTTGAAACAGAGATTTGGGGAGTATCGAGTAAGGAAGAAGTTTGTGAAGAACGGAAGGTAAGGCATGGCCCAGGTGAACTAGAGCTCACCTGATTGCAAGTGGGCTTGTACTTTAGCCCTGGTTTGTTCAGAATCAATTCCAACTGTTTGTGGTTGAAATTGGACACCCCGATGGACTTGGTTAAACCTAAGTCTTTACACTTCTCCAGTGCCTGGGAGGAAGAAAGTATGTAGTTAGTCCTGTTTGTACTCTGCCCTTTGGAGATTCTCCTTGGGCTTATTTGTACACTTACATAATAATTTCAGTTGCTTACATAATAACTTCAGTTACTTACATAATTTTGGTTAAATTTCAAAACAATTTTGACACTTGAAAACAGCCTTACCTAAGGCACTCACCTGCAATGAATACATATTTGTCTGCTCATTCAATTACATGTATATTGAGAACAGCAAGTACATATAAGTCTCCTTTTACCTGCCCCACCCTCTTCAGTGGCATCTGTTTTGATGCCAGTCTTACAACGTTTCTTCAATAAGTGCCACCATAGTAAAAGACAAAGAATTCTAGGATCCTGTGCTAGTTAAAATGTATTGTTACATTTTCCTTTAATGTTGAAAACTATATATGGGATAGGGTATATAGTAGCAGGTTTCTTTCTTTATCACAGCCTGCTCTGTGCTAAGGCAGATTACACTTCTCCAAAGGCATGTTTATCTGTCCTGGAATAGCAGTGTAACCCTTCTTGAGTCTCTTTCAATTAATCCCATTTATATGGCTTATATTGTTAATGGGATCTAGGAGGCAAAGACATGTCTACCTCAAATCATAGTTGAGATTAAAAAATAAACTTCAGTCCCTCTCAACTCCTCCTCTACGGATGAGATTACAGAAAGTCAGAGAAGGGATGGTGGTGGTTGTTGCTGTTGTATTTTTTTCCTTTTCTCATGTATTATATTCCAGGCACATTTTCCCCCCCCTCCTCCTATACCTCCTCCTTGCCTCCTCTCTCCCCCTTATTCACTCCTCATCTGTTGCCCTACAGAAATGAGCAGGCCTCCCAGAGAAATCAACTGAACACAGAATAGTAAGGTAATATAAGACTAGGCATTATGATATGCCTTAGACTCGTCAGTTAATGAAACAAAATCCACCTTTTCTAATTCTGTATTAATTTGTTCCTCACTTGTCACACAGTGCTTATGTCTACAGCAGTACATACCTCCCATGTATCACGAATGTCCACTACGTCTAAAATAATTTTTCCACTGGCATCCTTTGGCACAAGTTCCTCTCCAGGCTAGAATGCAGAGAGAAAAGCAAAGTTAACAAAACTTTCTCTAATAGTCAATGTCTATTGGCAAATGATCTTACTCATCTAACACTCATTCTGTGTGTGAGAGTGTGTGCACATACACGTGTGCACATGTGTCTTTAAGGAAGACTCTGGAGAAAGAAAAATAGAATTATCTTCTAGAGTATACTGGAATATATTCCCCTTGATTGGCATCACTTTCCTCCCCCCTTTCTGAGGACCCTCATGAAGCACTGGATCTCACAACTATGAGGACTCTTCCCGTTGGAATTTCCATATCCCAATGACAGAATAACGTAAAGAATGGGACTTTCACTATTAATTATGAGTTTTTGTTCCACTTTATGATGACTCAGTTATGCGTTAATGAGTCTTTCAAATGTGATCAGCAAACATGTACCTTGACAAGAAAATGAAGCCACGAAGCCCAAAGGAGCCCAAGCCCAATTGTCCATTACCCAAATTCAGATTGCTGTGTTCAAGAGTAAGAGGCAGACATAGGCGAGAACATGACCTGAGGAGAGGGAGAATCCCCTGGAGTCTCAGAAATCTCCACAACCTGGGGCACTCTGGTCTATAGAAGGCAGTAAAGTCCTTGAACTTCAATCCTCCTAAAGACTGAGGATGAGCATTTTAAGAAGTCTTGCCCATGTGGTCTCTCAGTGGCCATGCAGAATCATAAACATTTATCCATTCTGTTAATAAATCTCAGATTGATGGAGCACACTCAGTAAAAACCCAGAAAAAAATCTCGTTGGCCTAAGATAACACAACTAAAGAATAAAAATCCAAAACTGACCTTCATAGCAAACGGTGCATGAATAATGCAGAGATCTACATAATCCAGCCCAAGTTTCTTCAGTGATCTCTCCAGGCACTGACGAACCAACTCTGGTCTAAGGAAAGTCGTCCAAATCTACAGTTTCCAAACAGAATTACACATTGTGGTGAAATGATTGAGATGTGCTATGGTGGTCTCAGCTAAGCTAAGAGCATCTGGGGCTAAGTTTTTATGTATTTTTATTAAAATTTTTATGCAATTTGTATCATGGTTTCTCCCTCGTCCAATTTTTCCAAGATCCTACCCATAACCCTACCTAATTTTGTGCTGTTCATCATAGATCATATCCTAAATAGAATACTGAGATTTACTTGAGTGATGACAATGTCAGGAGAATGAGCAGAATTTAGAAAGCAACTAATTTAAGTGTTTCAAGAACTAAAAGTTTTGTTCTTGAAAGAGTCAAGAAATGATGAGTTGGATGTGGGAAAAATAGAACATATAGAAGATATATAGAAAAACACTAAATTAGGGGGCTGAGAAACATCTAGGAGAAAACACCATTGAGGTAGCCAGATGGAATTCCCCAGTTAAAAGTCCATCCAGGGCAGAGTGATGTATCCTCTTGGGTGAGGCTTCCAAGAAACTGAACAAACAGCAGTAAAGTAGACAAAGGATTTGCTGTTCTTAGCAAATCCAGAACCAATTCTAGGAGATCCCATCTAAAAACAAGCTGTCACCAGTGTAAACATGAGTAGAAGACATCTGTAGAGACCTCAGTTAAGATGGAATTACACTGGAAGGCTGCCTTTCCACCTGAGGAAACGTTACAAATATCAGTCCATCCAGTGCAGATTTCAGAAGAGGATTTTCCCTTTTGTGAACAATATTCTCAACCTCACTTGGGAATCCACTGAAGAATTATTTACTCAGGACCCAGAGAGGAGAGATTATCCAACAGAACTGCATCCTTACTTTATATCTAGACAATGTCTGATATTCAGAGATACTGAGTAGCTGCCACACTGAAAACACTTTGAAGCAAAACAAGATTTTTCCTTTTTAATCTTTTATCATTATTTTGGTGTGTGTGAGTGTGTGTGTGTGAGAGAGAGACCAGCAATGCATGTGCATGGGGTCACACACGTAAAGGTAGGATATCAAGAATCATTTTTCTTCTATCATTTACTTGCCAAGGATAAAAGGTTACCAGGCATGGCAGCCTATATCTTTTTCTGCTGAGTCATTCTGTTGATCCTGCTCTCTATTTGTCTATAATGTGTTTTTGCAACAAAGCCATGATTCAGTCTGAGACCCAGGGGGTTGTGTCTCCTTTCCCAGGAACATATCTGAATTGTTAGTGAATTTCAGCCATTCTAGCCACAAGTGCTCACCTTCGTGGTGTAGAATAAATCCTCTCTCTTCACAGTTCCATCAGCGATCTTGTCTCTGAGGGCCTGTCCAACTTCTTCCTCATTTTGGTAGAAGTATGCAGCATCTATGTGACGGAAACCTACATCAATGGCTATTTTGGTGGCCTCGTTAGCCTTGCTCTTTGGAACCTATAAGACAAGAGTAGGAAAAGTTGGAGATGTGACCAACTCAGGAAAAAAAAAAAAGCCATTTATATCTCAATCGCATTTTTTTCCCTAGTTGCTGCCAGACCTATGGTTGATCTTGTTTGATGACACTAACTTGATAATAGATTTACGATCTATCTGGAGACACAGACTACAAAAGATTAACTTCTAAATCTTGACTGAATAAAATAGTGATGAGGGATTCTTATGAAGCATGTCAATGCAAGTTTCATTCAATAAAGATTAGTTGGAAGGAACTAGCTAGCAGGAAAGCAGCACTGGGAGAAAAATTCTAAGGCACTCAGTATATTAAACAGGTGTGCATATACATAGGTATTTGTGAGGTGTTGAATGAAAATTAGTTCTTATTACCCATCGTTCTCAATTTTGCCCAAATAATTCTTCAGTTCACTCAAGATTCTTTTGTTCCCTTCATTTTGCAGGTCTCTGCATTCAGCATTTATGCAGTAAGCATTTTACTGAGTGCTGCCTTCTAGCCCAACACTATGTTAGGCTCTGGAGTACTAGGTATTTTTCCATGAACAAACTGGCTTCCTTTATTTCATACGGTTTCTGGAGGAAGTGAAGGAGACAGTCTTTACACAAGAAAGTATGAGAAATGGATGGGATAGCTCACACCTTCAATCCTAGCACTTGGGAGATGGAGAGACAGGAAGATCAGAAGGTCAAATTCATCCTTATCTACATAGTGAGTCCAAAGTCAGCACAAACTCCATGAGACCTTGTTTTAATCAATATCATTATCATCATCCTCCTCATCACACTCATCTTAACAGTTTTTCAACTATGCTTCAAATACCTCTATTTTGTTGTGAAAGCAACACAGAAATGGATGTTTAACCTTTGCAGACTCCTATGATTGCCAGGATGAATTTTAATGCCAATTAGAATTTTGATCATGAACACTAAGTTGGTTAATTATCAAGTAAGAGTGATATAATTTACTAGGATTGCTTTAATAGGCATATGCATAAATGTATATTGTCCACGATGTTGATAAATTATCATAGCTGCTAAAGCTCACTCACTGAGAAGCTGACTCTGAAAGCAGATTTTCCTCTCCGACAACTTCAGACCCAAGCATGTTTATGTCAATTGTTTTCAAAAACTCTCTGCTCTGGGTCACGTTGACCCTCTGGCTTTGTACCAGGGAAAAGAAAATCTCAAGCAGATAACAGTATTGAAAACATGCCTTAAAAACAGAATATTAATCATTCTTAACAGAAGTGATTGTTATTTATCCCATGATATAAAAAGGCTCCAGCATGGGGAAGGAGAAGAGAAGGAGAGGCAGCAGCAACAGCAGAAGGAGACAGTGGAGGAGAAGGAGGAGAAGAAGGAGGAGGAGAAGAAGAAAAAAAGTTGTCCCACAGGAAGCTCATCCATAAGGAGAGAGAACTAAATAAGGAACTCCAATTTACTGCCTCAATTTTCCCAGTTAATTCTTGCTGGATGCAGTGAGCATCCAATCTGATGATATCAACTCTTTCTGCTGCTATTTTTTCAGTTACTTGGAACCCTCACCCAAGGAGATACTTCACTCTGCCCAGGATGCTCTTTTAACTGGAAAATTCCATTTGGTTACCTCAATGCGGTTCTCACAGCTAGTTTCTACTAGATGTTTTTCAGCCCCTGATTTAATGTTTTGCTATATATCTTCTGCCTCTCTCTGATTGCCCCTCATAATTTATTCTTTTACTTTTTTGCATATATTTAATAAATCACTCATTCAAAACCAAAAGTATAGCCATCATAGATGATACTCCAGACCAGTAAATGTGTATTAGTCCTTTCTAGTTTAAATACTAGCTTATTGATTTTAATACTTTTCCTTGCTGACAAAAATTGATCCGCTAATTTTACATGCAGGAAGTTTACATGTGTCTGTCCCTTGGTCTGCATCAGAACTGGAAAGACCAAAGGACAGGATGCTAAATTCATATCCATAAAAACCACAGGGAGAGTATCCAGATTTAGCAGATACCCAGAGAGATAAAAACTACTCTTCTGGCCAGTTATTGTTACCAGGACAAGGACCACACCTTAATAACTGCTGCTGGGATACAAAGTCAGGATAATAATATTTACAAAATTTCTTCAAATTTCAATCAGTGTATAATTTAATGATTTAATCAGATATCCTGTGTTTGTGTTGCTCCCAGAACACTTAGCTAGAGAAACAATACCACAAAACATACAATGGAACAGGCTTTTGTTCCAGCAGTAACCTCATAGGGAGGTCATTTATTGAGTAAGAATCACATTCAGAATAAAAAATTCTACTAGATTGTAAAAGAAGCTTCTGTTTGTTCCTTTCTATTTCTCAATGGTGTGTATTACATTTACTTTTTCAAGTGAAAGCATTATGGAAGAATGATTTTGTTTTGTTTCCTAAGATACAATTCTGTTTTTAACTATAGTAACAAATATCAGTTAAGACAAATTGGTTCTGTTCAATACTAATACTTTGTTATTCCTCCACCAACATTGAATATATTGATCCCTGTCATTTGGAGACACTCCTTCCCAAGCCACTCATGCTTCTATTACCTGTGACTAGCACTAGACACTTTCAGTTCACTACAATGACTTATTGGATGGGTACATAATGTGTTCAGTAAGAAGTGTGATTCCCACCCCAATTGCTACTTTATATTTTGCAAGTTTTCAACACTAACTTATGAAGAGAATGTGGATTCTCGGTGACATTTTATAAAGATTCTAAACGTTTATCTTTATGCCCATCAATTAGTGCATCTCTCCATCTTCATCAAAGAAGCTTCTTTTTGCCATAGACAATGACTAATACCAGGACCCACAATTATTTAGTCCAGAAAACAGGTGTCCGTAGAGGGCTCACCCATAAATGGAAATTCTATTGCTCATCCTTTCTTCAAGAGGCTCAGAGAACATCATGTAAGAGGAGGAGGAAAGAGTGTAAGAACCAGGGATCACGAAACAGAAAACTGCTATACAACAATGTCTTCTGGATGGGATGGAACAGTTTGCATTCATGAGCTGACAGCAGCTGTGGTTGTCTGCAGAAACCCTGCACAATATCAATCCAGTCAACACTGCAGCATGCACAGAGAATGGGCAGACAAAGTCTTGCCCCGCTCCCCCCGAAAAACTGCTACTGTCAGTTAATGACTTCTGGGAATTAGAAAATCCACTTACCTCAAGCATGTGGCCACAAGTAAGTTGGCCATGTTCTAGAGGATGGCCTCATATTCAAGTACATATAATGAGTATTAATGGTTTTAGTGAGGTAGAAGAAGAAGAAGAAGAAGAAGAAGAAGGAGGAGGAGGAGGAGGAGGAGGAGGAGGAGGAGGAGGAGGAGGAGAAGGAGAAGAAGTTGAAGTTGGAAAGAAGAAATGAAGTGGGGAAAGAGTACTGAGAGTCTGAGAGGAGTTGGAGGTGCGGAATGAGTGGTGCATAAGATCAAAATACCTTGTGTACCTGGATGAAATTTTAAAACCTATTCAAAGAGTTGAAATTCGTTAACAAATACATCTTTTTCCAAAAATCTCACAGCAAAGCTGCAGTCCGATGTCCCTACTGTTATCCATTTTCTCCTGTAATCATTGCCCATAGAATTTGTTTTTTCTATTGATTTTTATTGAGCTCTACATTTTTCTCTGCTCCCCTCCCTGCCTCTTCCCTCCCCCTTCAACCTTCCCCGAAGGTTCCCATGCTCCCAATTTACTCAGGAGACCTTGTCTTTTTCTAACCAAGAGTAAAATGCAGGAGAAGCCTGAGCTTTAGATGATAAAAGTTTAAAAATTAGTAAGAATACTTATATCAAGGATTTAATATACTTACAGATGTAAGTACTTAAATATATAGCAAGCTTTGAGATTTGTCAGGAAACAATGTTAATAACCATAATAACACATAATCCACCTACATAATATTTAACCTCCAAATCTCCAGACCTAACATCTTGGCATCTCACCACGTACCAATACGCATCCCCAATCACGAACAGAAGTAAATTGTAAACAGGGAAAGGGAAGCCCAGGTGAATCATCCACCAGGTGCAGGTCTCCTGCCCTCTGAACACACTTCCAGGATAGCTGATATCTAATTCTTTAGTTCCCGAGAGGTCCACTTACTCCATCCGAAGCAAATGTGCCAAGTCCAAGCACTGGCATTAAGTTTCCATCATTTAGCTTCACTGAACGATTATGTTTGAGATCCATGGTGTCCACAGCCCAACAAGTCTAACTCTTGTCTTTCCTTCCTCGGTAACCTGAGCCGAATAAAAGGCAAGGCTCCAGCACTGCTTATTTCTATCAAGAAAGGCGGGGCCCAAGATTGCAAAGGCTCCAAGGTTGGAGTGAGTCCATGGGTTTTCTTATATTCCCTTCATGTCTCTACAGCAAACACACCCAGAAAGCTTATGTATTAAAAGCTGTTGGATTTTCAGCTCCTAAACAGAAAAGCTAGTTGTGACATTCTGCCCCTGATAATTACACCAGATTTACTTTATAAGATGAAAAACTATCATCAGGGTGTTCATTTATAAACATGAATTCTGATACAGAACCTTAGTTAATTTCCTCACCCTATATTTGCTTTATAAATATTAACAAAAATACTTTATAAATTTTCTCAAACAACGCTTGATATCTGCGCCCAAGATCACAGACAACAAAATTCCTTTGGAATATTCACCTTCAATTTAGTTATCTAATTTTCTTCTTCCATGTGTTAAGGTTTCACTCAAAATTCAGATTCTCTCTATTTTATTTCTTTAATAAGTTCTATTCAAGAAAAACTAGATTTATATCACAGATGAATCTCTGGAATGTTGTGTTTGTTTAAACAGCTGTTTGCTTCTGTAATAGCCTGCTCTCCTCCAGCTCAGTCACTACCAACCTTAGGAATTCTGCTTATTAAGCTCAGCATATGTGCTTGAGTCTCAGGTTCTTCATGACTCCTACAGCCTCATTAGATAAGATTAATCATGCTTTCCTGAGTCACCTTACATTGTTCTAATATCTATTAATGCAGCTCAAAAAATGTTGGTAAATTACACTCTAAATTAATTCAGAGAGTCAGCTATCATTAGAGTATTATAAGTTATACTTCTAAGTAGCACTTTGTTCACTATCACAGATACATCACACTTCCTCATTTGAAATACTATAACTGGTATTCTAATAGCACTATAATTTATCTTGTAATTTACAGTTCATCCTCATCTCTTGGCAGGGTCAGAATTTTGCCTGATTTTATTAATTCTTTTATTTTATATTATTCCTCTTAGGAATATTCCTTAAATACGGACCTCTCCTCTGATGTAAATAATCCCAATCAGACCAAATCAGACCAAATAAAAATATATCCAGGTTTAATTGGACATCTGCACTCTAGGGTGTCCCCAAGAGGGAAAACAGAAAGTCAACATGAACACCAAAGAGGAAGAGGGAAGACCACGTGTTTTTCACTGGGGGGCAGTTTAAATAGCATGTGGGAGTGGTCTTGACCTTTCGTAGGAAGAGGTCAAGGTTTGGACTGAGACAACTCTCAGGAGAGGTGGCTTCCAAAGACGGATGCCAGGGACTAGGATGATGCCCCCAACTGAACATTACAATCCCAGCATTTTATCAGTTACAAATTAATGAGTATACAATTTGGTTTTTTGTTTGTTTATTTAAACTACTAGGCCAAACAGAAATAAGATGACATTCTATAAAAAGACTTGGCCCTAATATATCTCTGACCATAGAGAAGTAGTAGTCAAGGAAGAAAAGACTCACCCTAGGCACAGAGAAAAACTGAGTAGTCAAGTCAGGCCCATCCTAACAATTGATAGAAATAGGATTCGTCTTCTTTACAGAATAATGTTCTTTCTGCGTGAACAAGATGTTATCACATAAGATGGATGAAGAGTTGATGCCTACATAGCTTCTATTTTTCAATTTCAATTTGGAGGTTAGGAAAAACACTAACCAGATGAAGCAAGAAAGAAATCAGAGAACCAGAGACACTCTGCATTTTCCTGTGAGAACTCTTGATAAATGACTAAATGGTAGGAAGGATCCCAATGAAATCACACCAATAACCAGGAGAAACTTGCCATGCTGAAGCATTGTCTTCTGCTGTTGCCTCATAGGAAAGGATAAGGTTAACAGAGGCTTCTGCGAGAGTCAGTCCCTGAAAGATGCTGACACACCACTCATAATTTTACTCAGTTATACAGCTGGGCAGAGTTTAAGAAATTACTGACTGCTGAGAAGTCTCTGACCAGGTATTCATTCCAGGTGTTCCTTTCATGCTGCTATTTTCCTTGTGATGCTTATTACTACATGAAATGTTCTTGTTTTTAGCTCATTTTAATCCATTATAAGAATTTAAACTATACTTAATAAATATTAAAACTCAAACAAAAGTTGTGTTAAAAGTCTCAGAAAGGCAAGTGTTAGGTGTTTTCTCTCACTGTGATTCTTAGATATTTTTTATGCAGATATATAAAGTTGTGTGTATGTATTTCTACATGTGTATTCTAAACATACAATAAATACACATATTGAAACTTAAATAACTAAACCATAGATTTTTAAAATCAGACTAAGAGATACAACTCTCCCTTGAGTGATCAAGTAGGTCTAGTGTTTTCTTTATAGAAAAGTGAATTCCTTCTATTCCATGAACTTCCTAGAGACTCTCATGGCCAGGCATGACATTCTTGTGAAGGAAAGCTGGCAGTCCAGGCAAGCATTTTAACCACATCTAGTAACAAACACAGCAGTCTATTGAATGATAATGTCGATGTTGAATAGGACAACTAAGCT